TGTGCTTTTTCCCAGTAGCCTGCTTTGGGCTTTCAGTGTTTAGTCTTTCACTTAGCTGACAAGGCCATGGTGATGGAAAGTTAAATCCAGATGCTGCTCAGCACCCTGCCTGTGGGCCACTTCTCTTGCTCTGCTCTTTCTCCCTGGTCTGCTCATCCACCCTGTGACTTCACTTTTCCATCGACTTGTCTGTTCAGTCCAACCATGCCCTGAGCTGCAGGCTGTTCTTACTAAACCACCTCTGCAGTGTGTGCTTCTCCGCCATGACCAGCTTTCCCATCCCTCCACTTCAGAAATACATCCTGTGCTTTCATGCTGTGCTGCTTGCCCTGGCTCTCCCTCTCCCTTTGACTGGAAGCTCCTCCACCCTCCCACCCCGAGGAAGCCTACTCCTTCCCGAACCAATCCAAACATGTTCCTGCATGATGCCTTCCTCAGGACTCCCATTATAGTGGCCACCCCTCAGTCCTTTGGGGGTCTCGCCAATGCCCAGCAGCTAGCTTCAGAGCACTTTCCATGTGTGAGGTCGCCGTTTAGGTGGCAATCTCCTGAGTGCTGCTCCATGGATTCTTTGAGGACAAGAACCAGGTCTTAACCGCTTAGCTCAAGCCTTCACACATATTAGTAGCTAGTGTTTCCTAAGCACTTAATGTGTACCAGGTAGTGTCCTAACTGGATAACAAGCTTATGAGAACTTAATTCTCACAACAACCCTGTGAGGAAGGTACATTATTATCTTCATTTTACAGATGAGGAAACCGAGGCAAAGAAGCAACGAGTCGCTTCTTAGTCACAGATCCAGTAACAGAAGAAGCCAGACAGCCTGGCAGCCAGATCTCAGCCCACACTCGACCTAGTGTGCAGTCACCTCTGACAGTGATTCTCAGCAAAGAGGATTGGGTGAATGAAGAACCAAAATGACTGAGAGTTAAGGGTTATATGATAGTAATGTGTGTATCTAATTCATCCAAAATCTCCGAGATAGTACACAGATAGCTGTTAATTTCCCAACTAATTAAAATTTTCCAACCAATTAAAATTATTTATTTTGATTTCTTTATCTCAGGCTATTGTTTGCCTTCTGTAATGGTGAGGTTATATTTAAACATTTAGGAGTTCAAAAAAAATCTTTTTTGTTTTAAAAAGAACTTTAAAAAATGATTTTAAATGAAATATCTCTAAAGTCAATCATGTATCTTCCTGCCTGATTACATAGTTCATGGAGCATAATTCAGCCTTTTCTTAAGGCCTTAAGACCATCATTGTGACCAACAAACATTAAATTATAATCTGAGCCTGTGATATCCTGGGGCCTTCAACATCAGTAGGATTTATTAACATCTGCAGAGTTACCAGGGACCATACCAGGCACTTTCAAGTATGGTTCCTTAATTCATGGTCTACGCAAAGATTTGTTTTGTTTTTAAGGAAAAAAAAATAATAATCATTTGCTCCTCTTTCCAGAAGCTTCTTTGGTCTTCTTGGATACTTTAAAGCAGTAATCGATCACTTCTTGCTCTCAGTCTGCTGTTCACCAGGAGACCACCCTGCTTCTCGTTGACCCTTGTTGATCAGCCATGTGGGAGACTTGGGTAACCTGACTTGTTGGTATTGTTGCAGAAACCCCTCTTCTTCCACCGTGGCCTCCTAAGTGTCACCAGAGTGGCAGGAGTGCTCGGAAAGAGAAACGTGTTAGGTTTCCTCTGACAATGTTATCTGAGAAGGCGGCCCCTCGCCATCCCTCTCCTTGGTTTTCTTGGCCTCTGCAAAGTGGGAAGCCACTCTCTTCCTTCATTTAGACCACTCTGCAAAGGCCACGTGTCAGTCATGACTTTGGGTAGCTGGTGTGTGAGGGAAATCATGTGGGTAGCTGCAAGTGACCTGTCATGGTCCCTTGGTGCCTGCCAAGTGAGCTAAATATTTTTGTGGTTTGGGAAACTGTGGCTTGACTTTTTGAAGTTTATTGAGAAACTAAGTCAAGTTACAAGGGTTAAAGTAATTGGACCCTCTGTGCTCAATTTCTCTTTCAAACATCAGGTTCTTACAGGATAAGCCCTAACAAAAACATTTTAAAAGTCATCTCCAGAGTCAGTACACATAAATAAACTTCAATGATGCAGACTCTAGGCTTGGAATTATTCAGGCCTCTAGGTTCATGACCTAGAGCTCAGTGAGAAAACAAAAAAAGGGCTCAGCAAGGTCATTGACTTTCGTCATTAGTCAGAAAACTTGGCAAAGTTGATCCCTGGGCTTCTGGGCCTACGTTAAATCCCAGGTCTTTGCCCAGCTTTCTTTGAGTGCAAACATGTTCGCCCTGGGATCACTTTTTTTATTTCTAGTTCCTGAGTAGTCACCTAGGCCAGCTTGGGGTCTTGGGCCCTGGTTATAAATGGTTATACCTAGAGAAGTCTTTCCCTCCTCACTTTGGCTACAGGGAGGCTATGGGACCGGAAGTGGCTGGAGAGGAATGCCCTTCTGCAGGCACCAGCCTAGGCTGAGACAGGGATTTGCCTTCGAAATGTACTCTTCTCCGGTTTCTAAAAAATCACTTTGCATTAACTTCTGTGTAGAGTTAAGAAAAACCTTGGATATGAAGTCAGGGGACCAGGATTCTGAACCTTGTTCTGCCCCCTCTTGGTTAGTCCTGGCTAGTTACTTTATCTGAATCTCCGTTTTCTCATCTACACAAAGACTGGGTTATGATTTCTATATGAGGGGTCTTTGGGTGCAAGCGAGAGAAACTACCTCTGGCCAACTTAAATAAATAGAGAATTTCTTTGAAGGCTATAAAGTGGGTTACAGATTCCAAGAGCAGCTGAGAAGAAAGCTGCAAGGTCCAGGGCAGCTTTAAAGCCTGGAATAGCAGGAGCACAAGGATCCTTGTGTCATGTGCGCCCCCTGGAGGAAGCCTGTCTTTCTACAGTATTTTCCATCTTGAGGCTCTGTGCTGAGGAGTCAGCAGCCCTGGGAAAGGAATTGATTGAGCTCTGGGCCTACACCAATGCCCAGTGCAAGAGAGGAAAGAAAATCAGGGCTCCGATCAGAAGAAAGGAGAGTGAATGTCTAACAACCAGAAGCCATTGCAAACGTGCCCTAACTGCATATTGTATAATGTTTTAACACGACCACCTCTATCAGATTCTGTGAACTGAAAAGGCATACAATTTTTTTCTCTCGCATAATTATTTCGATTTGGCATTTGTTAGAGGCATTCATTGGTTTCATCCTACAGACATTTATTAAGCACCTATAAGGAGAGGCTGTCTGATATATCTGAATTTGTAGACCTGGGCTCAAGTTCTGACTCTTTTAATGACCATCTGTAAAAGTAGGGTGAAAATACTGGCTGTATGTGTGCCACACACAGGCTCGTTGTAAGGCTTAAATGAAATCAAATGGAACAGTGTGGTTATACCCTTTGAGGAGCTCTGCAAGTGTCAGATATGTATATCATTGTGTGTAGCTTGGTGCTTTGTGCTAGAGAACAAAGACTCATCTATTTTTATGCAACTATATGTATGCATTTGTTTTTCATTTGCTTATCTATTTTTATTTTAAAATCTAGAAAAGATTTCAGAGGTATACAAGTTTCTTAAGCTTGCTTACAGTTTTCCTGAGGCTTTGAGGTAATTCCCTCACAATCTAAATGATGTCGCTAAGCAGTTTACAACAGTGCCAGACACATGGTACAGACAGCAAGCTCCACAGGTATTCATTCAGGGCTGAGAAAACCCTTGTGTGGCTATGGACAGGAAAAGCCTCCAGAGGAGGTGATAGGTAGCCCAATTGCCTAATGCCTTCCTACCTGTGTCTGAATGATAAACTCTTAGATTAGTTCTGTCCAATAAAAATATAATGCGAATCACATAAGTAATTTAAGATTTTTCTAGTAACCACATTTAAAAACAGTGAAAAGAAACATGTGCCATTAGTTTTAATGATATATTTTAATTTTACCCGTTGTATCTAAAATCATTTCATTTCAATGTGTCATCAATAGTAAAAAGTTAAGGAGATGTTGTACATTCTTTAAAAATTTTTGGGGTACTGTTTTTGAAATCTGGCATGTATTTTACCCTTACAACACATCTCAATCCCGATCAGCCACAGTTTAAGGGTTCAGTAGACACATGGCTACCACGTCAGACAGCACAGCCCTAGACGGAACAGGAAAAAGAAGATGTCAGTGGCAGAGAGAGAGAAAGGATAGTTATGGAATTTAGTGAACACCTGCAATGGACCAGGCAGAGCCAGGACTAGTGTGAGGCTTTTGATGAACAAAGTATCAGTCCTGTTCTTATTTAAAATTTCGATATTTTGTTTATCATGATTTTTTTTCATTAATTTTGATTTTTAAAATTGCATTACAGTATTATGTGTCTTGATTGCTGAGTTTTTTGGCACCTCTTACATTTTGCGCCTACCCAAGGCGAGTGTCTCACGCCCCTCACCCTAGTCCCAGGATGGCACCAGGCACTCTACAGACTTTCCTAATACCTCATTTGGGGGCACTAACCTGAACCGAAATGAACTATATACCCAAAAAGGAGTGAACTCCTCTAATTTACTTAGCATTTCGTTAAATGAATTTTCAGCTGAATTCAGGTTAGAAATAAAAAGCCATTGGTAAACAAATTGAAATTCAAACTGAATCTGTGATCTGAAAAATTTGAAAGTATTTCGGGACCAAACCATAACCCAGGAGAGTGTTCACTGGCTTTGATTCCCTGGTCAAGATGACCTTTGACCATTGCGTTTTCCAAATTGTTGGGGGAAAGAATGAAAATGACAGGTTTTTGAGAAGACTCTATCCCAGGCCTCATTTCCTTCCCACTTCATAGCTTTAATCTCTAGTTTTTTAAGGGGTCAGTATCTGCAGTCTCTTTTTTATAATGGTTATATTGGGAATGTTACATTGAAAATATCTTTGATTCTGAAAGAAAACTATTGTTTTTTGAAGTAGTGACTATTTTCAAACAAAATCCTTTTCTTTCTTTTAGGGAAATTAGAAGCAAAGCAGACATTCAATTTGGAGACAATGGAACAACAGTATCTGCTGCCAGCAACAAGACCTATGTTTTCCTACGAGACCAATCTGTCGGAGACCCTCAAATTGACTCAATTAGAACATTAAATATTCCTGCAGTGGTAAGCGTTTTAAGTACCATTATTGTGAATATCAGAAGACAGGAAACACTAACTTAAGGCTATTTCGGTTTTACATTTAGGAGCTATTAAGTTATATTACAAATATATTTATACAAAGAGAAAAGTACATTTTTCCCCTGCCCTTTTTAAAAGTTCACCTGAGGTGTTTTTCTGAGGTCTTTCAAACAGGATCTTTTCAAATGGTGACAAAATGCAAAATTTTGTATTCTCCGCCCCCAGTTTCTTGCCATGTGTGGTTAGCACTTGTGTTAATAAATATGTCTCTAGGATTTTGAGGGGTAGCTAATAATTTTAAAAATATTTGCCCCTCGTTTCAGTTCAGAAACTCTAGCAATAGACTTTGCATTCTCCCCATAACAAATAATAGAGACCGGACTGTTGATTATAGCCTAGAGTGATTTCATTGGGCTCTGTTTATAATGGCAGTTCCATCTAATAATAACACACTTGACATTCAGGAAACTTTCCTATCTCCTAATCACTCTAACTCCTAGGTAACCATGACATGTGCAGCTGGACACTCATGGTGGATCCAGGGCCTAGAGCTAATTCCATCCCAGATCTGGCCTTGCCCTGCTGCCTAGCGGTGCAGAGTTTTTGAGGCCCCAGCCTCTGGCCCAGATCAGGAGAAAGATGATGCCACTTGGGGCCAAAGATGCTAATGTACTTACAAGAGCTTTTCCCTTTGCTCCTGCATTGTCGGGATAGAAGGGCTGCCTGTGGGAATGCTAAGCTCACAATTACAAATATAATACTGTAACATAAAGGACGGTAAACATAAAGGACAGTAACTGAAGAATCTTATTCTTGCACATGCAGCCAGAAAGGAGCTCGCTGGCTGATTTTTCAGCTATTTAATATCATCATTTACATTTAAGTTTCCAGTCCCCTTTGCTGAAGGCTCAGTAGGAGAATGGGGTAGGGATCGTGCTATCTGAATTTGCCTGTGCTTCTTAGATCGCCATGGAGTGGGCCCAGCAAAACTTCCTCCGGGTGATCATCCGGGCCCTGTTAAAGGCCTACCAGCAGGAGTTATTCGTGATGCACACAGTGGACGATTTGCTCTGGGGCTACAAAGATGAGATTCTGTCTCTCATCCACCCTTTCAGACCCGATATCTCTCCTTATTTTGGTTTGTACTATGGGGTAAGTGGATTTTTCTTTTCTGAGCCACTCTGTTTGGCTGAGGGGGACGGGAGGCACCCCAATCCAGATTACATCTTCACTTTGCGTCTCTTCTAGGAGAAGACCAAAATTGCCAGGAATTCTAGATGTCTTATAGAATATGTGAAAAATAAGAAAGTGTTTTAGTAGGAGAAAAAAAGAACTTCTCCCACAATTTTAACATGCTACCAGCACTGACTATGAATGGGGGTATCTATGAAAATACATAAAGTGTGGCTGTGCCATCAATCAGGTATGATCTTTCAAAGTATCATAAATTTCAGTGTTCAATACCAAGTCTCATTTTGATGATTTGGGGACTGACTAAACCTATGGATCAGCCTGACAAAGACAAGCTAAATAGGTACATGATAGTCTGTTAGAGATGGAGCTACTCATTAGATTTTCAAACATGTCACTTGTGAAAGATCCTGGATAATTCAAAATTTCATGTGTCCACATCTATGATTCCTTATGCTTATAAGTAGAATTTTATGTCATTCCTTGCAGATTTTATTTATTTTGGTTTGAAACCAAAAATATCAGCATTCCAGTAGATTTAAAGCATATGCTATTGCTGCCTGTTTCAAATGAATTAAAGTTAAAAGCAATAAAAGTATATATATTATACCTTCAAAAAAAAATGAGTAAAATGGATAGTTGGGAGATTGATAAAGGACCAACTTAAACTAAAGAAAAAGTGTTAGAATTGGGGTGAGATCTGAGATTGTGATGAATTTCCTCATCTTTAAATTTGTTATTCTCTAGCTCTAATGACTCAAGAATCTCATCTTCATCATGTGACCTCTTAGCATTTCTGTTCTTCTGTGACAAATAGTGATAATGAAGCCCCTGTGCCTTCAAGAGTATACAAAACTTAGAAATTGTTCAAACAAAATAGGAAACAGGTTTTTAGCATCTATGTGAAAGGTGGAGGTTGTAGGAGTAAGGTCCTGCCAACTCTAATCCTTCACTCTGGATGAGAGGTCGGTAGGTGTTCCCCAAAAGGTCCTGTCTTACAGGAGCCCAGCTTCCAAAGGACTGTGGGAAGCACCGATTCTACACTTCTCTTCTAGAATTAATTCCAAGAGCACTTCCTGCAGAGATACAAGGCCCTTTTATTCCCAGTGGTTTCTGTCCATCTGCCAAGTAGATCCTATTCTTAATACCTCAGTATTTATCAGATAATTACCTTTGTTTATAATTTTTAAATTTTTTATTTTTCAATTGCAGTTGACATTCAATTTTATATAAGCTTCTTTTTTATTTTCTTAGTTATATGAGTCCTGTTCAGCTAGTCTTCAAATGGTTCTCAAAGGTGGTTGTTCTATAACTTAGTTGTAATTTTGATGTGATTGTGGGAGGAAGTGAGTATGGTGTTTACTTACTCCGCCATCTTGGCTAGGAGTTCCATATAATTTTCATTATATAGCTAGCTTTGTGTTTTTACATTGATGTCTTCAGACTTAAAACTAATGTCCTTATATATCTTTTAAAAATGTAACCCACATTTACAGACTGATTAAGAAATTGGCATTTTAGCTTTTCCATGGCGAGGATATATTGTTGTTGTTATTATTATTATTTTACTTATTATTATTATTTATTATTTCTTTCTTTTTATGCCCTTGCCCTTCGCCTGTCCTTGTAAGCACCACTGCATCTCCACAAGGCCCCGTTAACGAAAAGCCCTGTACCGTCACTCTATTAGATTACTACCTTCAGCGGATTTCTCGCACCCAGGAAAAAAGCACAAGACTTAGAATCAGAGGGCCTAGATTTGCATTCTAACTTTTTCATTTAATAGCTATGGGACTTTTCTGAACCTCAGTTTCATCGTTTGTAACTTGAGACTAATGTACCCATACTTCAAATGTCATTCTGAAAAGGCTAAGTGAGAAGTCCATAAGAATACTATGCAAATTATAACTTGCAATACACATTTCAGGAACCATCATTCTTTTTCCCTTCCATGACTGGCTCAAAAAATGACCCTGAATTAATATGAATGACTGGTATATGTTTCCATTTTGGAGCTAAATAAACTCTCTGTAGTGTTGTTGGTGAAAAAAAAAGTGGGGGGAGTTGCAATATGTTTTGTTCAGTTTTTCATCGGCTCTGGCCAAATACTAAGACTTTAGCCAGTAGCATAAAAGTTCACACTTGAGCCATCGTTCATTCAATGACCAGGGTAGGCTGCGAGGTTGTGCACCCTTACTGGCACCACTGTGCTGCTCCTGCCTGAACCTGGCCTCAAATCTTTCCTTAATCGTGGTGGCATTCCCCTCGGATGCACTAGGCCTGTATGGCCTTTCCACCTGCTCCACTACACGTTGCAATGAAGAAAGAAAACTTTAGTTAACGCCATCAAACACTTTTCCTTCAAAGACTTTAATGATAAAACAACTAAACAATTAATGGGGAGGGACAGAGTGTGAGAATGAATAGGATGAGGTGATGCACAGAGCTCCTGAGAAAGTGGGGAACTGGTTAAGTATCTGATGCTCATGTGTGTATTGCCAATCAGCATATCTGTACCCACTGATTTTAGGGTACCTCTGTTTTCAAGCACCTCCCATTAAGTGTGAGTTCTTGTGTGTATAAAATTCTGGTCGTTGGAAAGCACCTTTGAGGGGTCAGCCAGTCCAGCCAATCCTACTGGGAGGGTGAATCATGGTTATGTTATACTAGTGGTATAAATGTTGTAGTCATATTCACAGAACATTTCTCACCCTCTGGCCATAATGTGTTCTTGTATCTAACTCATCACTACCACAGTAACACAAAACCTACTTATTCCTGCTTGTCCTCAAATAATAAAAGTTCTAGCGAGAGAGGAGCATTCACAGTCAGTGTCTGATTGTCTGATTCTTGGGCAGATAATTGCTGGGGAGAACCCTCTCTGAGTTACTCTGAAACATTTAAATGCTTAACCACTTAGCTTAGCCCACATCTGAGTTAAGTGGAGGACTTCAAGAAGCAACATACAGGCATTTTTTTTAAATTGGTGGTTCAGTGTTTTTTTATGTGGGGTATTTGACTTTTGAATCAAATTGTTGTAATATTCACATTGCTGCTCTTGAAGAGGAGTCCTTTCTCATTTCTTAAAATCATAAGAAATTTCATATATGGAACATGACATGACCATTATGCATGCGGACCATGTTGATATGTTGATATAGTTGGCTAAATAATGTTAAGTGACGAAAAGAAGAACCCAAGTAGGCAAAAAACATGAAAAGAGAATTAACAACAGATATGCATATTTTTTAAGGCTAATAGCTGAATGATAAGAAAACGAGAGTTCAATCTTAGTGAATATAGAAATGCAAAGAGACAAGAAACCATTTTTTGTTCATCCAGTTAGCAAAGTTTAACAAATGTCATTGGGGGAATATAAACTAATTTATCCTGCTATGTCCACCACTTTCTAGCTGAGTGACTTTGAGCAGCTTCATAATATGTATCAAAAGGCTTAAAAATGTTCATGTTCTTTTATCTAGTAATTTCACTTTTAGTGGTCTGTTTAGAATGTAAAAGTACCAAAAAGATTTTTAGGCATTAAGATGTTTTGTATAACATTATTTATAATAGCAAAAAAATTCAAAATTAAATATCCAATAAGAGAATTCTTAAGTAAATTCTTTTCACATAGTGTTATGGAGTCACTAAATTATATGTGTAACGAACTTTGGATAACATGGGAAATATGTGCTTAAGTAAAAAAGTTGTATAAATATACACAATTATATATGTTTTTAAATTGTGCATATATACATATACATACATATAGTATACATTTATAATATATCTTAGTTCTATAAACAAATTTTGTGTAGAAAAATGACTGAAAAGAAACAGACCACGTACTAAGAGCAGTTCCCACTGGTTGGGAGGATGATGAATAAGTGGTATTTTTTTTATACATCATTCTGTATTTTCTAATAAGAATTTATTGCTTTTATAAGAATGTGTTATTTTAATGATCAGAAGAAAAAAAACCATTTTAAAAAGAAAGCAGAACATAAGTAGTAGGCATCAACTTATTACCCCAAAATGCACCTGTGTTATCCCAAAAATATATCTGTGACAAAGCCCTAAAGATAGCTTAGAGCAATAGAAGTAGAACAGTATTTGGTTGTTTTGTTATTCTTAGTATACCTGTAAAGTGCCTGTCACATAGTAAGTATTTAATAATAAACATTTCAAAGAATGAACATAATTATAATAGTATTGGAATGTTTGCACTACGAGGGCAGCAATTTTTGTCTGTTGTGTTCACTGATGCAGCTTTAGCACCTAGAATAATGCTTGACACAAGATAGGTACTTAGCGAGGGCTTGTTCATAAACAAATGAGTACCACAGCCTAGTGGCTAACTAGGGATCAGCCTGTGGACTGTGGAGTTACTTAGCCTGGGCTTCAATCCCAGATCTACTATTTACTAGTAAAGTGATTTGGGCAAGTTATTTAACGTCTCTTTACTTAAGATTTCTCTCTATACAGTGAAAGTAAAATAGTCCATGTCTGTATTAGTTTCCCATTGCTGCTATACCAAATGACCACAAATTTAGCAGCTTAAAACAACACAAATTTATTATCTTACAATTCTAAATCTCAGTAGTCCTAAAATCAAGGTGTCGTCTGGGCTCTGTTCCTTTTGGAGGCTCTAGGGGAGAATTCATTTCCTTGACTTTTCCAGCTTCTAGTGGCAGCGTTCATTTTTTGGCTTAAGGCCTTTTCCACCATCTTCAGGGCCAACAGTGTGACGTCTTCAATCTCAGTCTCTCCCTCTGACCTCTGCTTCTGTCCTCACATCTGCTACTGTGACTCTGACCCTCCTGCCTCCCTAAGAACCTTTGTGATTACATCGGGCACACCCAGGTACTCCAGGATATCTTCCCATCTCAAGATCCTCAGCTTAATCTCATCTGACAAGTCCCTTTTGCTATGTAAGGTAACATGTTCACAGGCTCTGGGGGTTAGGACACGACATCTTTGGGGATCATTATTCTGCCTACCATACTATCTTATGTGGTATTTGTGAGGATTCCATGGGATCATTCATGCAAAAATTTCAGACTAGTGCCAGGAATATTACACTAATTGTTAGTTCCTCTTACTTTATTATTATTAAGGAGCTAGTATTCATGCTATTTCCCAGTTATCAAAGCTCCATCCCCAAATAAAGAATTTGTAAGAATAGATAGTATCTTTATGTGCCCTTAATAAGTGTAAGTGGAAAGAATATACACCTGAAGAAACCTTAATTAAAAATGGGACTATATTAATATTACTTTCTTCTTGTGTAGCTATTATATAATTGGATCTTTGCTCTGGACTTATGCTTTCTTATTTTTTTATTTTTATTTTCTTATTTTTTTATCACCATTTTAAAGTATACAGTTTAGTGGTGTTTAGTATATTCACAAGGTTGTACAACCTCACCAGTATCTAATTCTAGAACATTTTCATCATCCTCCCCGCAAAACATCACATACCCCTTAGCAGTCAATTCCATTTCCCCGTCCTACCAGCCTCTGGCAACCTCTAATCTACTTTCTGTCTCTATGGATTTGCGTATGAATTCGTAGATTTAAAAAAAGTAAGTCTAAAGGTTGGTATCCTTTTTGTTTCCTTTTTCACTTTTATAAAGAAAAATAAGTCGTGTTTTTTGTTGGAAACAAAACATAAGTAAACCCTCTCCCTACCCAGCTTCTCCCCTGTCACTGCAGGATGCTGGGCCTGCTGGGCCTGGACAGGAGAGGCCAGGCTGACCTGGACCGAGACAGGAGAGGAGCTGGGCACTCTCTACATGGGCGTTTTCCCAGAGCCAAAGAGGAAGCGCATTTGAGAATGGAGTTTGGCTTTTTTAGGCAAAAAATAAAATTAAAAAACTCGACACACATGTGCAAGTACAAGTGGGTGCCAAGAGGCACCACCTTTGAGTTGGAACCGTCTCTGGCAATTGGATGTTCATGTGCAAGTTGGACGTTCATATAAATGGAATCATGCAATATATGATCTTTTCTGTGGCTTCTTTTATTTAGCATAATGTTTACAATGTTCATCCAGGTCATAGCATTTATCAGCCCTTCATTCCTTCTTACGGTCGAGTAGTATTCCATTGTATGAATATATCACACTTTATCCATTCAGAAATTGACAGATATTTGGGTTGTTTTACTTTTGGGCTATTATGAATAATGCTGTTGTGAACATTTGTGTACAGGTTTTTGTATGAACATTGTATATGTACCTGGGATTGGAATTCTCTTGGGTATATACTTAGGAGTGGAATTTGGGGGTCATACAGTAATTCTGTGTTTGGCAGTTCTTTACTGTTTCCTGGTTCTGATTCCGTCTCATGTGGCAATTAATGGCCAACTAGGACAGTTTCAAGAAGATTAAATTTGTTAGTTGCTAGATCTATTTGGGTTCTCCAGTGGGAGATAAATGTCTATATACTTATCTATCTTTCAAGAGTTTATATTAAAGAATTGGCTTATGCAGGGGCTGGCAAGTGGCAAGTCTGAAATCCGTAGGACAGGCTGGCAGCTCAGGCAGGATTTCTGTGTTGAAGTCTTGAGAATTCCTTTTTTACTGCAGGAAACCTCAGATTTTGTTTTTAAAGCCTTCGGCTGATTGTATGAGCACACACACATTATTGATGATTCTTTCTCCTAAAACCAACTCATTATAAATGTTAATCACATCTACAAAATACAGCAATATCTAGACTAGTGTTTAATCAAACACAAAAGCACCATTGCCTAGCCAAGTTGACACATAAAATTAAGCATCGTGTTACTCTAAATGATCGTATTCACTTATTTTCAGAAAAATGGGACTAATGATGGAGACTATGTTTTTCTAACTGGAGAAGACAATTACCTTAACTTTTCAAAGATTGTGGAATGGAATGGAAAAACGTAAGTCTAATGATTTATAAGTGTAATTATTTTTTCAATTTTGATTTAAACTGAGTGTTCACGTATACATTATTTCAAAAAAAATTTAGCACTGTCATTTTTTGGATGAAAAATCTATAAATGTATAAAATATCTTTATAATTATTATTTTATAAATCAAGATTGGAGTGATGCGCTTTACAAATTGAATATTAATGACTTGTAGATTTGTCATGGCTAGTCATGAATTACAAGCCAGAGAAAAGTTTCACTTTTCTATTTAGTAGCCATTCCATGATGTGTAGCTGGAGCACAAATACTTTTCAAACCACCACATGTTTTGGGGGAAAGGGAAGAGGTTCTCTTTTAAATTTAATTTAGTAATTTTGTATTGTTTGTGTTAATTTTTAAAAGGTGAAGCACATTTGAGTTTAGTATAGCATTTCAAAAATATTTTTAATTTTAATATTTATAATTTATAAATGAACTACTTCTAAAAAGGAGCTGAGGCAGCTTGCATTAAAGCTATCTATAAAATAAGACAAGTCTTTTTAAATCAGAGAAAATAGAAACCTTTGCAAGAAAGGAGGCTAGTTCTTTAGGGACTGAAGTAAGAGGTCTTTCTTGAACATTAAATATACTTCTAAGATTCCCAGAAAGTTAGGCAAAAAACTGGTATGAAATATAGAGGAACTCTCTACTGTTTTCACAACTTTTCTGTAAGTCTCAAACTATCTTTAAATAAAAAGTTTACGTAAATTTCATATTATCACACATATCCATAAATATAATTTGTGTGCCTGCACGTACGCACATACACACACAAACACGAATGCCAATATATAAGAGCCCTGAAAGAATATATAAGAAACTGGGAACAATGTTACTTCTGGAGCTGGGAACTGGATGACTGGGATACTGGGCTGGGATTTACCTGTAAACAGTATATAGCTAGATTTTGTTTTTAACCCAATCCATTTTCTCTCTAGTTTTCTAATAGGAGAATTTAATCCTTTTATGTATGTGTTATAATTACTGATACGTTTATCATGTAATGATATAATATAATATTTTTGGACTTACTTTTTCTGGGTTATATCTTTTCTATCCTTATATTTTTATGATTCATATTTAACAATATTTTCTTAAGAAAATCTAAAGCTATCTATTGCCTCTCTTAACAGGACAATAACTTTACTCATTTCTTACACACACACACACACACACACATACATATACACACACGCACATACATATACACACACATACATACATATACACACACAGCTTCTGTGTTATTCTTGTCTACAACTTGTTTCACCTTAGGAAGCCAAATATAAGTAAAAAGTTATTTTTTTATGGTAAATACACAATTTAATACCAATATGTTTTATTAATTCATTTTTCCTTCTCACATCTTCCCCCTGGGTTTGATTTTCTTCTTGCTGAAGGTTATCCATTTGCACAGTGGTTTTCAACCAGAGGTGGTTTTGTGCCCCTAAGGGACATTTGGCAATATCCGGACACATTTTGGTTTTCATAACTGGGGGATGTTACTGGCATCTACTGGGCAGAGACCCAGGATGCGGCTAAACATCTTACAGTATAAGGACAGTCCCTCCCTACTGCCCCTCTGCAATACAAAACGATCAGGCTCAAAACGTTTAATAGGTTTAGAAACCCTTTATCAGTAGTTCTTTCAGTAAGGGTCTGTGGGGGATACATTTCTTAGATTTTACGTATTTTAAAATGTCTTTATTTCACTCTCAGTTTTGAATAACTTTACTTTGGTATAGAATTCTAAGTTGATAGTTTAAAATTATGAAGATATTACTCCATCAGCTTTTATTGTCTTTTTATTCATTTTCTCATTGTTGATTTTGTTGCCTGTCTCTTGTTTTAAGTTTCTTTCTTTTTTTTTTAATGTTGACTTGCAGAATTATTTTAGTTGGGAAGCCCACTAGTTCAACTATGCTTTTAGTGAGTATGAAGCCAATTCAATATTAAGCTTTCTTAACACCCAAGAGAAGACTCCCATTAATTTTGGAACAGAGAACTGTTCCAAGGAAGACAGAGTTAATGCTCTGTCCTGAATATTAAAGGGATGAACATATCTATCCAGAGCTTGTCTGTCAGTAGGCTGGCTCCGAATAAGGCTATTGTTAATGCTAAATTGGGTCATTGTTTTAAGTAAATGGATATTTCCAAACCTCTATGTAGGATACTCCTTTTCAAGGAAGGAAAGAGGGATTTTTGGCTATTGCCTCTATCAAAATTAATTCAGGATTTTTCCCCATCTTGATCTAGTCCCTAACCAGTATCACCTTTACGTCTGCGTATGAATGAGGTTCTGTGGGTAGCCAGCTCCCAGTTAAGTCTTGAAAAGTCCTGACCATATGAAAAAAATCTGAAATCAAATTCGATCCTCTTAACTTTTCCTTATGCTTATTAATTACAGGTCACTTGACTGGTGGACAACAGACAAGTGCAATATGATTAATGGAACAGACGGAGATACTTTTCACCCATTAATAACCAAAGACGAAGTCCTTTATATCTTTCCATCTGATTTTTGCAGGTAAGAACTTTAAAAATAAGTTTTTTGGCTGCAGGACCACCAAAAGTGTGAGGAATATATATAGCTACACTTGTTAGGCATGGATATTTATGTTTAATCAATGATAAATGATGATGGCATACTGAGAGACAATGTAGAGCACAGACTCCAGAGCCTGACTGCATTGGTTTGAATACTGGCTCTACCACTTCTAGCTGTGTGACCTTGGAAAGTTATTTAATCACTCTGTGCCTCACTTTCCTCATTTGTAAGATAAGAATAAAAATAGTTGCCTAGCTTGAGAGTTGTTATGAGGACAAATGAGTCACTATTAGTAAAATACTTAGCCCAGGGCCTGTCACACAGTAAATAATATTAAGTGTTGGCTCTTATTATCATATGCTTTGTCAAGCATGAAATTTGACTTGGTCTTTTTCCAGTCAACAGATAATCTCTACATAGAAGATAAATAAATCATATTTCAGAGTTCATAGGTATTTACTTAGCTATAACTTTTCCATAGATCATATTTATTCTTACTCACCCTGTAATCTCTCCCTCTCTCTCCTGCCTTCTCCTTCTCTGCAAACTTCTCCTAGCCATCACTCTCAAACTGCTTGAATGAATGTCTGACTCATAGCCTCCGTCTCCTCTCCCACTCACTCCTGTAAGGCTTTTTATGAGGCTTCTCAAAAATCAGAAATGACCTAGTCACATTTGACACTATCGATTCAATAGTCTCAAGAATTACTGTTCATTTTTCATACCTCACGTGGCTGAACCACCTACCCCACCAGCCTTGCAAAAACATTGAGGACACTGTAAATCTCCCTAATCTCTTGCCTTTAATCAGCCAAAGAGTCAGACTGACTTCTCTTCAGAAACAGCTCTTGCATTCATCCCCACCTCTCCATCCCCACTGTCTGTGCCACGATTTAGACCCTTTCCATCTCATACAGAATAGCACAGTCACCAACCTGGCTGCTCCATTCAATAAATATCTGTGGAAAGACTAAAGGAAGAGAAAATACATTTGAGTACAACTGAGTGAGACAAGGAAACTTAGAAGGGCAGTAAGAGGTTATTTTGTTTGTTTGTTTGAAGATTTGACACAGAAGAAATACATCCTTACCTGGTACAACCACTTGGAAGAACCATTTGGCCATGTATAGTAAGCCAGAGACATAGAAGTTCCATACTTCTGCACTTCTATTCTGCGTAGTTTCCCCAGCCTGAAGAACGCTTGCATATACATGCAAGGAGACAGACAGAAATGTTCATTGCAACATTGTAGTAGTGAAAAATTGGAAGCAATCTAAGTGCTTATTAAAAGAAGAATGTAAATAAATTCTGGTGTAGTCATAGGTGGAATACTATATAGGATTTAAAATGTAAGAACCAGAGCTATGTACATTAATGTAAAAATATCTTTAAAATATAATATTGAATGAAGAAGCAAATTACAGGAAGAGAATATTGTATACTGTTTATTAACATTTAAAAATAGAAAACAGTACCACATATTATGAATATGCACATATATGAAGGTAAAAAGACCTTATTGGGAATAATAAACCCCAAATTCATCATAGTGGTTCCCTCTGGGGACACAGAGAAGGACTAGAATCAGGAGTGCTACACAGAGAGCTTCAGTTGTATCCATGATATATTTTTTATTCATCGGAGTGTATTATATTAAAAAGGCATTTATTATAATATTTTCTCTCTTTTTCTGATTGCCTAAAGTGTTTCGTTTGAAAAAATGCTGTAGGGGTGGGATGTGCAGTGGAGGGCAATCCCCATGTTATTCACAACCCTGCTAGAGCAGCATCCCACCTCTGGTTCAAAGATGAAAAAGTGAGGTGCTGAAAACAATTCCTCTTGACTTGCAAATGAAGGGCCGAAGGATCAATGAATGTGAAAGTGCTTTGTTACAGGTTTCCCTGCTATCAGAAAGTAGAGGATTCCTTAGGAAACCTTTCATAAGTTGATTCGGGTAAAGTGAAGAAACAATTACCATTAACTTACATGAAAGAAATTTTTGAGCATTCCCAGACACAAAAAATAACCTACCGAATCATACCAAATACACTTAATTACATCTGGTTTTATGCTAAGTGTAAACCTTATGAGCTCTCTCAGGACTTATTTTGCTAATAAAATCAAGATAAAGTTCAGATGCTCACAGACGCAGTTCAAAGCTCTGGGGCTTGATGCTGAGATGCTGAGTGTGGTTCCCGGGGTAGGAGCTTGACAGGGCCACTCTCACTGCCTGGCGTGAATGCTGCCTCTTGGCTGGCTGCAAAACAAATCCTGAATGCTCTTTTTGCTTTTTGCCCTTTTTTTTTTTTTTTTTTTTTTTTTATAAAAGCAAAAATCCTCTTTGGATTTCTTTCAGTTAGCAAAAACAGGTACTAATGTAATTCTTTCATAAAAGCAAAGTAGTGTAACAAGAGCTTTTGAAAAGCAGGGCATACCTATACTCAGGTGCTGTGCAAACATATGGGTGGTTAGTATTTTAGGCGAGACCACTGTCTGAACTCCCTAATGACTGAAGGCAGAATTGTGTCAACCTCTGACACAATGACTGGGATAAAATATGGAAACTTTTTATTTAGGGGAAGTGGGTATTAAAGTTTATATTCTAATCAAGTATCTGTCTAATGGGGCGCTTTTCCAGGCCTTAAGAATCTTCCAGGCAAAGCCCTTCACCGCCTCTTCTGCTCTGGCTTTGCCTCTGCTTTACCCTTGATTCTTTTCCTTTGCTTTTGCTTCATCCACGCTGACATGTGTCCTTGCTGGTCTAGATCACTCTTATTCCTTTCGGTGTGAGACTCCATTCTACATGTCATGTTCTTAATGTTCTACCACACAGTATGTTTTTTTCTTGGCCTTAATTTGGATATTACTATAGTTGCTACCTCTTAAACACCCTTCACAGTAGTCCATCTCCTACTTTATTAATACACATTGAGTGGGTTGAGCTCCTTTCAAGCTTTCTTTCGCATCTTCATTGTCCGCTGCACCCTCTGAGCTTTTAGTCGTGTTGTACTTGAGAATTGTTGCTGATTCAGGCCAGATTGCTCTGACTGGAGCCCACACTGACTTTCTGTTTTTACTTCGTAACAGGTCATTGTATATAACTTTCAGTGACTTTGAGAGCGTACAGGGACTGCCTGCCTTTCGGTATAGGGTACCTGAAGAAATATTAGCCAATACCTCAGACAACGCCGGCTTCTGTATACCTAAAGGAAACTGCCTGGGCTCAGGAGTTCTGAATGTCAGTGTCTGCAAGAATGGTAAGGATGACATGATTATGAGTGTCTGGAATGCAAGATTATTGTTCTTGAACAAACAACGTTGTCAGCCCAATAGAACAGTTCCAACCTTTCAAGAACTATGTTTCATAACATGGCTATAGAATGGTAAAAGAAAAGAAAAAAGAATTATTGGCTTTCCTGTAATGCTTTTTATTGCTAGAAAGCCATGGTATGTTTTTTTCTGGGCAGTAATTTAGAAGACTTAATAGTAATAATAGCACATGTTTACTCACACTCACTAGTACCAGTCACTCTTTTAAGTCCTTTACATATTTACCTATACATGTAAAGCATTAATTGATTTCATGTTCAAAACAATGCTAAAAGAGAAAGTGGAGAACTTGGTAATGAGAAAATACATATCTTAGTAAAGAGTCTCAATGATTTTGAAGCAGAGTGAACTTTAAACCCTGACTGTAAATTTCCCAGTGTTTCTTAATGTCTGAACTATTCTACCTCTTTCCATGAATGAGGCAGAATTTTCAATGGTACAGCTAACAAAAGCATTTTTGTCTTGAGGACTAGTTTTAACAATCACATGTTACGTAGTTGTTGTTCACAGTAACTTTGCTAGAGAGACATCCAATGAATGCCCTGTTTTTATAACTGTGGAAACCAGGGCTCAGTGAGGGAACATGATTTATATAAAATCCTTCTCTCTCAGCAAATCCTTGCTGGAACTAGGGTCTCCTCATAGTCATACTGTTAACCCTCTTAGGCTACAATTTCTCTTTACAGTTTCTCTTGAGAAACTTTATAACCCTTTTCTCCTGAATAAAGTAATGTGCTAACTGTTGCTCTCTTGTCTAATTGATTTGAAAATCTCCCTTTGGAATAAATCTGAGGTCAGCAGTGTCCTCCATGTCCTTGCCCGATGGGGCATTGCCTCCCAAACCCAGCCTTGCTTCAGGATTATCGGGAGAATCATTAAAAATATTTGTCCCAGGGCCCACACACTAGGGCCCCAGAATTTGTAGTTTTAACATGAGCTCCAGGTGATTGTCATGAAGCTAGTGCCTACATGTTTGGAAGCGCTGTGCCAGGGCACATGGTAACCTTACCCGGAGATAAGACCTAAGGTAAATGGAAACAAGGTTCTGCTTCTGAGCTTTCCTGCTGTCTTTCTGGGTGAATGGTCCTGAAACAGTGCCCTGCCCACTCAGCTCATGTGCCTCTGATCCCAGACACAATTGTAGACATATTTTTCTTATTTTGTTAACATTCTGCTTCCTCAAGAAGTCAGAATCAACAGAAAGATTCTGTTTGCAGCAGTCAAATCTCTTGCTACATTTTTTTCCCTCTTGCCTCATATGTATTCTCAAATATGGACTGAAATGTTAAACTCTCCAGGATTATCCTCAAGTGTTTTGAATTCCCAGGGGAACATTTTAGGTAGTAGGATGATGAGTGTTCTGGAGTCAGGCAGATCTGGGTTTGAGTCCTAATCTATTTGTTAGCACATTGGCCAAGTTGATTAAGGAGGGTTCCAGACATCGGTTTTCTTATTCAAAACTGGGGGTGATTATAACTTTCTTGGAAGCTGTGCGAAGGTTAGAAATAATGCACGTACCATACTCAGAACAGTGTCTGGCCCTTATTAAACACTCAAGAGATTATTGAAAATAATTTTAAAAGTGACTGCAGGTTACAAGGAAGGAAATTATGGCTTTGTAAAACTGTTTAGGAGTAGAGAGCAAAACACTTGTGTATGTGACAGATGATGTGCATTTTGAGCCATGGGCTGGCAGATATGTAAGCAGATTTAAATTACTTGACAATAAGCTAACTTCTCTAAAAATATTTTTTCCCAGCAGCAATTATTGGGTCCCTATCTCCTCTTCAATAGCTAAATCTGGAATAGGTTTCCTTTAATAATTTGTTTCCCTATTTGTTTATTAAAATGAATAGGAAAGAAAAAAAACAGAGTCTTCATATGGGCAGACTTGATCTAGTCAAAAACTGGGCAGATGTGATGACCAAGCAGTCTTAAAAATTCTGCCTCAACATATGCAGGAGAATAAAGCCTATCATAGGTAAAACAAATACAGAAAAGCAAGCCAAAGAAAAAAGGTCTGTTTATTGATAGAGAATTATAGTTGAGACAAGTGCTTTGAGATAAACATCCTTCATTCAATTAGAATTCTGTTTCTATTACCTAATAGCTGAATATCCCTGGCTAAATTTTGTAACGTCTCTGAACCTCACTTTCCTCAAATGCAAAATGAAGATAATAATTTTAACTTCATAGGACTACTGGGAACATTAATTAAAATAATGAGTTTAAAGCATTTTCATTTTATAGAGTCAGTATGTTTGTTGAAGAATAAATAATTTAGCCAGAACTTTAATATATATTCTGGGATAAAATAATGAGATGTCAGAAAACAAAGCATAAATCCTGAGCTAGGAGGTGTAGAATGGAATTTTAGTTTGCCCTCTCTCAGCCAAATTTACTTATGTATAGCTTTTTTTATCCCCACTTAGGAACCAGGTTTGTAGTCAGGAACTTCATTTGAGACTTTTAATAACCCTATCATTCATTTCTGTTTTTCTTAAAATGCAGGTGCACCTATTATTTTATCTTTCCCACACTTCTACCAAGCAGATGAAAGGTTTATTTCTGCCATAGAAGGCATGCATCCAAATAAGGAATATCATGAAACGTTCGTGGATGTTAATCCCGTGAGTACACACCTCTTCCTGGTAATAGGGCACATTTCATTCTGTCTATACCGTGTTCACTGGTTTAGATTAGCACTCTTAGGAAATATACTGTCTTCCTTTCATATATGATTAAGCAGAGGAAACTCAGCTTACTGCAATGCGATGCATAGTCTTATACCCCTGTAATTAGAAGGCTGGATTCTGTGGATCTAATATGCAGAAACACCAGCACACAGATATATATATATTTGTAAATATGTATATTAGCTTCAGTTACTTTTGGCAAACATCTTTCTTGAGGTACTTTTGAGAGTTTATTATGTATTATTAATTTAAAAGGCATCAGATACACATATACTTTAATCCTATATTTATAGAGGAGAAAAATGAAAAAAGGATATATCATTTCACAACGTGACAGCCTCTCATTGTAGGAACTGGATTAAGGTCAGATATCTTCATTCTTGGGCTTTTAAACACATGGCATAATAAAAGAAAAGCAAAAACATTATTTTAGCACAGCAATTTATGGGGACTTCATTCTGAGCTACACTCAATGTATTTGTATCAGTGAAATCAGTGGTTTTATCTTTTTGTGAATAAGATCAGGTATGGTTTTCTCTCTTTTCTCTCTCAGCCATCAGCCATCAGTAAGTTCCTTTTTGTCAGTCAAACTATTAGCAAGTGCTTGTTACCAAGGACTTGGTGAGGTCCCATGACCTTAGTGCAAAGGTGGAAGGAGCTGCCATGGGAAAGATGACAGCAGCTGCTGTCTGCTAAGTGAGCCCTAACTATGCTTGGGCACTGTTCTCTGGCGGTGACCACTGTCCTCCTTATGGTGTCTGTGGGATCTCCCATCTGCAAGGATCCTTTAGGTCTTTGCTATTCAAAGTGGCAGCATCCTGGGAGCTTGTTAGAAATGCCCAATCTCAAGGCCCGCCCCAGACCTACTGAATCAGAATCTCCATTTTAACAAGAACTCACATGCATATTAAAGTTTGAGAAACATTGGTCTACCAAGGACCTAAAATAATCCACAGTTCTCATTCTGCTCTGGGGTCAGTTTTCCCTTGTCTCACTGTGTCTATCAAACATGGCAGGGGTTACCCTGTTTATCAGAACCACACAGAAATGGTAAAAAAAAAAAAAAAAAAGAAAAAAATCGTTTATAGTCTTAATAATGCTTTCTTTCCAATTCTCTGATTTGCAGTTGACTGGAATTATCCTAAGAGCAGCAAAGAGGTTCCAAATCAACATTTATGTCGAAAAAATAGATGACTTCATGTAAGTTTTGCTGCTTTCTACAGAGGCAAAGGGTGGTTTTGCTACACTGACTCTTGCGGGAGTGATGTCCGGAGGGGTACAGTCCACTTCTAAGGCTGCTCGCCCTGCCCTTCAGGAATGAGGCATGACCAGCATTTTCTTAGGCTGCCTTGGTTTTGGAATTTACTTATTTATTCAAACACATATAGAGTGCTTTCCATTGGTCAGGCATTTTTCTAAGTACTTTACATACATTAACTCGTTTATTCCTCACAATAATGCTGTATTATCCCCGTTTCACTGATGAGGAAAATGAGGCACAGAGAGGTTAAATAACTTGCTGGAACTCACAGCTAGTAAAGCTACAGCGTCTATTCTCACCCATTCCACTAAGCATTTTCCTCGCCATGAGTCTGGTTGCTTCCCTTCTTTTCTTTGCCACTGTTCCCACCCAGGACCAACCACAAGCTCCACTTGGGCAGCTAAAATGATCTCTTAAGTCCAGCCTTTCCTCCCCACACTCTGTCTCAAACCCACAACTTAATTAGGATTCCTAAGTATAGTCTCCTGCTCAGACTTTTCAATGGAATTTTTTGGATATGAGAAAATGCTTATGATTTAATGTTGAATGAAAAATATGTAAAACTGTACATCATACTATTTATCTATCTACTCTTTCTATTTACCTATGTATGTATCTCTCTATCATGCATCCAGCTGTATCTGTCTATCATTCATCTATCTATAAAATTTTGTTAGGTCCCCCATCAAACATGCCAGATTTAACCCCATATGTCATGGATCCTTTAAGGAAGCAAATGTGTTTTGCAAGAGTGCATTTTGTCACCGTATGGCAATATAATTGAGCAATTAAGATCTAGAGCTATAGGATTGAAATGGAATTACCATCCTGGCTCTATCACTTCCTCTTGCTGGCCCTGGGCAAATTACTGTGAGCTATAAATTCCTCATCTTAAACCTGAGACGGTAATACCTACTGCATGGGACTGCTGTGAGAATTAAATGAGATAATGTCCCCAAACCACCAGGGCAGAACAGGTGCATGGTAAATGCTCAGTAAGTGATTGCTCCAGGATCTTGTGAAGACAGTACCTAGTGGCCTGGTTACAAAATACTCTGAGCACTGCCAGATTATTCTGTCTGCTCTGGGGTCAGTTTTCCTGCAGCCTCCCCTCTGATAATTCTTGGGAGAATAGGAATCATTTTGATGAATTTGTTTTCAGAATCTTCTTTTTGATAAAAGACAATTTACGTAAGTGTGCAACACTGGGAATTTCTAGACTGACAGGAATCCAACTTCTGATTGATATGTGTTTGCAAATATAATTAAGAAGTCTGCATAAATTCTGCTGAATTTAACGAAATAAGTATATTGACATTTTCGTGTAAACTTTTCTCTCGAGTCCAGTGTGCCATCACAATGAGGATGTCTATGAAATGATCTCATCTTTTGTCTTTGTAGTGAAACGGGAAATGTCAGAACCATGGTTTTCCCAGTGATGTATGTCAATGAGGTAAGCCCTGGGAGAGAGCCACCAGTGTTTTACCTGTGAAGGCTTGAGAACCTTACATTATGATGTCTGCTATTGTAGCTGTGCATCATTTGAGATGTGAAAAAGGGGGAATGATGACTTTTAAAAATTTGTCCTCAGAAAATTTGTTTATGTATTTATATGAAGACATCTATGTCAAGGATTTGAAAATAACAAAAAATTTCCCTTCTCAAAACAGGTTTTGGGTAAAACTCCCTTCTCGGAAGCCAGTTTTGTAAGAAACAAAATGCAAAGGTCAATGAAGCAATATCAGACACAGTTGAAACAACATAAACAGCCAATGCTAAGATGTCCAATTAAACCTTTCTTTGCATCTCTTCCTCTGAAACCTTGCCAGTTTGTAAAATGTCATCAATTTACCCGTTTATTAGTTGAGGAGGAGAGGAAGAGTAAAATTAAAATGATTGGTAACATTATACAAATTCTGTGTGAGGTAGTTAAAGAAATGGTTAAATAAAATGTGATACATGCCCATTAATTTCAGTGATACATGATTGCCTCATTATAGCAAAATTTTTTCTACTTTCTGGTAAACAAACATATATCGTGAATTATAGAAAACAGATCCTGTCTTAGTTCAAACAAAAGGAGTCTCTCTGAAGAAATATTTCTTTCACAGTGTACCTACAGATATTTTATCTCTAAATGTTAGGTATAAATTGAAGTTTTGCAAAGAAAAGCGTACTTTGAAAGTTCAGGAAACATCCACTATTTAAGACACCTGTGATAATTTTTTTTTCTGAATCATATATCATATTTACTGTAGTTCTGTCTCCCCAGTTTCCCTTTCTCTTCTACCCAGTTTGGAGGGGGAAACTGCAGGGTTTATTTCCCCTCAATAAATTCTCAGTTGGCTGGCTTTTGTTATTAACAGCAGTATTTTTTAAAGTTTTTATTATTTTTCTCTCTTCCCTAAAAATACTTATTTGTCAAAAATTTAGTAACAGAGATTAGCAAGAAAAAGGAAATTAAAAAATCACTTTTCACAAAACCTGAGCCAGACCGACATATTGTTTTTAACTTGCTTTATATTCCTCAACAATGTGTTATAAATTTTCTTCCAATAACGACTTTATAAAAAATATATATAATTTAATGGTTTCCATTTTGTAAAACTAATGTGCTCTTTATAGAACTCTTGGGAAATTAAAAAAAAGTATTTAAAAAGTGAGCCACTGATAAGTCTATCACTCACAATTATAGTTGACATCTGCTTATGTTGCCTCGGTTTTTTTCTGGTTTTGATGTTAACATATTTGAGACCATACTGTAGATACAGTTTTATATCCTTTTTTAAACTTAGCATTATATTGATAGCCACATTTATAAACTTTTGAAAGGTTTGTGATTACAGTGCTCAGACAAGGCTTTTATTGTTTTATAGGAAAAATTCAGGCAGTATTTACCAATTTATAGGACCCGTATTGCAGTTGCTACTGACTCATCATTGTTACTTGTTTGGAGGGGCATGAAAGTAGGGCTTTTTGAAAGTGAAGAATGAACCTGCTCTGCAAGCTTATGTTCGTAGTTGCAGCATATTTGAAGTGCCATCCACCTGAATTTCTGCTTCGATTTTTTTTAAAGACCAGATTGGGTCCAGGGAGACCTGAAAGTGATCTTGGAGGCTGCTCTCCCACTCCCTTTTTCCAAAGGAGGAGACTCTGATCTTGACGGGGCTTGGCTAGTTATTGGAAAAACCAACCCTAGATCTCCATCCTCTGCCTCAATCCAATGTAAATTGAGCCAAATTAAGCCCAAAGTCCTATTTGTTGCTAATAATTTTTATGTAATTAAGCATTTCACCCATGATAGTTTAAGGTGATAATACCTTTGCCCTTCATACAGAAAGTGTTATTCTAGAACATTTCCTTAGTTATAACACCCTCTGGAATTCTGGTTGGCCCCAGAACTTCCCTGAACACTTTCTGTGAAGATTTCTGGTCCTGAATAGTATAGATCTAACCGAAAGAGAAATTATATGTTCCACATACCATTGTTGGACTGTTTGATCGATTCATTTATTTTATTGACTGACATTAATTGAGCACCCATTGTGTGCAGGATGCTATACCCAGTGTTGAGGTGACTGAAATAAAAGTTTTGCCTTTAGGAACCTCAGAGTCACAAGGAGACCAACATGGAAACAGATAGTTACAGTGCAGAGTGAGAATACAGTGTTGGAGGATTTTAGAGAATAAGCTGGAAGTGCAGAAAAGGGACCTCTAACCAGGCCTGAGGTGGTCAGAGAAAACTGGAAGGAAGTTATGCTGAGATTTTGAAGAATAAATTGGAGTTTTTTGATACAAAAAAAGATGATATTATCTCAATATTTCTGAATATTTTTTCCCTCCTCTTTCCAACCTATTCTGAGACTAAAACATGTCTTCAGAAGAAAAAGGGAAGACATTAATGAATAAATGCTCCCTCTGGTTGTTCTCATTTATAAATGGATTTTCAGTATTTCTGATTGCTAACAGGAGGACATACCCAAATTGTGTTTAATGATTTGAAAGAAAGATATTGCAACAAACTTTATGCACTTGATTTTTAGTAATCAAGGCAATACCATGTTCTTGCTTCATCCTGCCCCTGCTCTAGAGTGTTCTCATTGATAAAGAGACTGCAAGTCGACTGAAGTCTGTGGTTGACACTACCTTGATCGTCACCAGCATACCCTACATCATCATGGCGCTGGGTGTGTTCTTTGGTTTGGTCTTCACTTGGCTCGCGTGCCGAGGACAGGGATCCGGGGATGAGGTGAGCTTCTTTCTTACTGGATAACTTTTACCTGAGAAATTCAGCTGGGCTTCAGTGGGAGGGCTGCCAGCTGGCTCCGTAGGGTGGATTCTGAGGTTTTCTGCTGGGCATAGTGATTTCTTGGTTATGCTACTACTGGGCAAAATGAGAAGCAAGGGAAATGTGTCAAAGAAGGAGGGATGATAGAGTGGTATTATGTGTGGGGCTCTTTTGGTGGGAATGGAATCCCTGGGAGTGAGCTTTACATCTTTGAAAATAATCTGGAAGAAGAGGAAGAATATATAACAGTTAAGCACCTAGGCTTTGGTGTCAGGCTGCCTGGGTTCAAATCCCAGTTTTGTCACTTAATGGCTGTGTGACCTTAGAAACAGTTTCTTCATCTGAAAATGGGATACTACTAGGACCTCTTTTAGGAGTTTTCGTGAAGATTATATGATGTAGTAAACATAAAGCACTTGGCCCAGTGTTAGCATTTAGTAAGAGCTCAATAAACATTAGTTCTATGGTAAGATAGCTGTAAGATTATAGAGCAAGGCAACCAGAGACCTGTTGGAAAGGATCCCTGATATGTTAGCAGAAGATACCTACCACTGAGTCATCATTGAATAATAGTGATTAGCACAGGGGCTGTAGTTACTTTCTTAGAGGGATGGGAACAACCCCATATGGATGGGATAAACAGTTAGCTGGACCCCCTTAAGTGACCAGCCTTAAGTGGCCAACCCAGGGGTCTGAATACCTTCAATGAGCCTTTTATGTAGGAGCCTTTCTTGATTTTTAAAAAATTTTATTTTATTATTGGTTTCAAGTATACAGCGCATTTGGTTAGACATTTATATAGTTTGTAAAACAATTGCCTTTTCTCTCCTCTGGCTCCCCACCTAGCCATTACATTAAACCTAACCGCATTCCCTCTGCTGTGCTCCCCATCCCTGTGCCCATCTATCAACTACTCATTTGTACTTCTTTAACCCTTCAACCCATGCTCTAGGAGCCTTTCTTAAATTCTCAGTAGCTTCCCTTTTTGCAACAAAGGCTGTCTTTTTTTCCCTGCTCCTGGCTGCCTCTACTAAGCAAATTAGGCACATGTGAAGTATCAAATGAAATAGGTTGAAACCATCTGAATTACATTCATCCAGATTTCCTTGTTTTTCACATTCTTCCAGTATGTCTCTTAACCTATGCCCATCACATTAGTGTGAATTAGGTATGAGGCAACTATTTTGCCATTTTCATCTGTGGATCTTCCAGTCTGACTCTATACAGTTACTGAGATTTTCGTAAGCACAGATGAAAGTCTATGTAAATGTTGTCACTGCTCACGCAATTAACCATCTTCATGTATTTAACAAGCAAGCAATTATTGAGCGCCCACATGATCTCCAAGATATTGTTCTCTGGTAGATTTCAAACCAGGAAGAAGGCAAATTCAGTAGAGTGTGATGAGGGTTACAGTCTGAGTCAGTACAGGGAAAGGGGCTGCTCCAGGATCCGGGGTGGGGTGGTCAGAGCAGGCCTCTTTAAGAGGGTTAGGGCTGAATGTTCAAGGAAGAGCAAGAAGCAGGCCAAAAGGAGAAAGAGGTGAGTGGGATGACCACCTTCTTATCAGCTTCTTCTCCTTCTCCTCTCCCCTCCTTCAACTTTTCACATGGGGAGAAGTTTCTGACATGAACACCTAACTTCACTGTCCTCTTTCTTCTGAGTCACAGGGAACTGCAGATGAAAGAGCACCCCTCATACGAACCTAACCATGGCCTGAGCTTGGTGAAGGAACTGTGTTGAGCTGTGCTGACCTGGACTGTCACGTGGGGAAACTGTCCGTGTCCTCACAGGCTTGTTGCCCGTTATGAGAGGAGGGAGAAGACCCAGAGCTGCAAGTGATGAGGACATTCTGGCCGGAGATTAAATAACAGGTTGACATGTTGGCGAGTGGGCTTCATAAAGTTGGCCTGTAGTCCCTGACAAATTGTTTTGTTTTTCATATGTTTAGCAAGTATTTAATAAACTCTTGTATGGTAATTTTTTTGTTGTTGAGTGCTGGTAGCTCCAGAATTTTGTGACCACTGTTGTGGTTTAATGTCTCAGTATCATTTGTTAATTCTATTTGGTCTAACCTATTGGGTAGGCTTCATTCACCAGACTTTGTACTCAAAATACATAAACACCATTTTATGTTGTATTCCTTCATTCATTTCACCCCCAAACCAGAAGTAAATAAGAATTCAGAACCCAGGGTAAAATGGAAGCCTCATTCGGTACATCATTCAAATGTATCTAATTTCCTCTTTTAAAAAGTTAGATATTGCATTTCATGCTGGTCATCAGTTCCTAATTCCTCTAGGAAAATAATTTCGTCTTCCAACTACTTTCATACTAGATAGGAATGAAGTAGGGAGTGGGTTGGTGGGCTAAGGTACTGATGAGTTAATAGCGATAAGCACCTAAGGATTTTCTACTTGTAATTTTGTGAATTGAAAGAATGCATAGATAATGTTGGTGAGCACATGTACAGATATTTCATGTAGAGTAGAACTAAGTGCTAGTTCTGAGATTGGATAGTTTATGTTTTTGGTTGAAATGATTTTGATGTGGAAAAGTGCTCCTGGGAGAATATAATCAATAACTGATCCCCTCGACACACACACACACACACACACACAATCACCCATGCCAAATATGATACTGTATTAATTATAATACTATTGTGATTATTTGTGAAATAATTTATAAGTATAGGAAATCCATCAATCCACAACTTAAGTTGCATGTAAGTTTCAGAAGTCCGATTATACTAAGGAGACATTTTTTCTAGGGCATCTTTTTGGTAACTTTGAAATTGTTTTTATAAGTTGTTCTTTCCTCAGATTCAGTTCCTTTCGATGTTTTATGGCTCACTGTCACTCACAGAATAGAGAAAAATGTGCCCTACGCTTCCTGTGACACTTATCTTACTGACAGAATTACAGTGGTTTAAAATATTGCACAGAATGTGCTTTCAAGAAAGGTCCACTGGGACAAGTGGGGCCACCTCTCTCCAGAAAACCTCTTGGCTTTCAGTGTAACCTAAGTCAAGGGACTGGGAACTATCATATGCCACAGAATTCAAGCATATTTAAAGGCTTTATTTTTATTATTATTATTCTCAAAGTTCAATATTCATTTTCGATTGAGAAACCTATACAATTATCTGGCAAAGTGCACATAGAATTTATTAACAACTGAATAATTCTACAGGACTTTTTATTTAAAACTGGATTTCAGTGTAAACTAATGAAAAAAAGCCATGGATTTTACAAATACAGCTTCTGATCTCAGAGGGTAATAAATCACTTTAGTTTACTTGCCCCAGTTTTCTCTCCCTTGTGATATGTTTTCCTTCTTGAAGGGGCAATGCTTTAAATTTTCAACATCTCTATAAATTAAGATAGAACCTATAGATACTCCAAATCACAAAAATGTGAAAAATTAAGTTGAAAATACTTTGTCTTCAATAAGCCAAATATCTAGATTTTTTAATATTTAACTAGATAATTGGCATATCTTATTCTTTTATTTATCCACTTATCTACACTAATAAAACTGAGAAACCAGAGCATAGTCATTGCTTCATTCTATTATCAGAATATAATCATCTGTGAGGAGGAAATTTTTAAATACTATGAATGATAACGGTTAATGATACACCTTTAGACTGAATTCCACAGAGGCAGGGAGACCAAAAACATTATTTCCATATGATACTTAATAGTTAACTTGGCTTAAAGTCACATTTGATATTTTCCTTCTGAGAAGTCTGTGGCAAACCAATAAATTGCAGTCAAGAGTATAGATTCATTAAGAATGGATTTAGGTTGAAAATAAACTATTTCTCATGTTCGCTCTCTTGGAGCCATCATCCTGGAAAAACCCCTCAAAGTCTTTGTGATTGTCACAATCACAGAGCACTGGTGCCCTGTACTATGATACTCAAATTAGGGAGAAACGAAACAGAGAGAGGTTACCTCACTTCTCTCAGGGAAAATTGGGAGTTGAACGCAGAACAGGAAGTGGGCTTTGCCACTTTTAGCTGTAGGCTTTTTCCACTAGGCTTTATTTCCTTCCTTAAGTTCTGGAAAAATCACTAATAGTCAAGTGGAGCAAGTACTATACAACTAACCCCTATCGGGGTTTTACTTAAGGGAGACTAATTTTTTTATTTAAATTGCTGAAGGTATGAGTTCTGCAGAAGATGACCTTTCTACTTGGCCCTCTGGGCACTATTACTGTACTGTAGTTAATTGCATGTGGCTATTAAAGAGAATACTGACCATGTAGTTTGTACACTTGGTTCATTTCATGTTATCCTTGAAATGTTTATTTCTGTCCTTAATGCAATATCTTTCACTAATAAAAAAACTTTATATGAAATTGTACTGGAAATTCTATGTTTTGTCATCAGATGTCCAGTTGTCTATGGAGTTTCATTTGAAAGATGCTCTTTGCCCTCTTGTCCAATGCAGGCCTGAGTCACACCCCTTGGGCCACCTCTAATTTCAGCTCAACTGTGGCGCACAGTTATAGGCGGCTAGACAACTCCCACTTCAAACAGGTCCCTGGCTATGCCATTCTCCTCAGGGGTTTCTGCAGAGCCCTGGAGCAAAGTGGGGTTAATACCCCCAGGGTAATGCTCAACCGAAGGGTGCAGGAGTCAGCTGATAAATGTCCCAGTCCTCAGAGGGACAGTTCTTGGGCTCATTCTACAGGGTTCTTCAACTAGGAATGCCCACAATGGAAACTGCTTCCTATTACCATTTCTTTATTCCCTGTCTCACTCTCCACACCCCCTCACTGGTGCTTACTCATAAATAATCTACCTTATTCAGGTCTGCTTCCAGATAAACACAAACTAAAATACTGACAAAGCCACCTAGAAGGGCTTTGCAGAGAATCAGAGAACTATTGGACAGATACTGGACTTTTGTTTCTGGGGATATTTGAACTAAAGATATTAATCCCCAAATTTAGATTACCTTTAAAACCTTTTCTGTATCAATAGTATTGCATTATATGTCAGAAATCAGAGCATATACAGATCAGTCATAAAATACCTAGCTCAGTGTAAACAAATGTCCTTACGTATTAAAGACACTTGATCCCTAGCATATGTGCTTCCTAGAAATCCTAGATCTCATTTTAGATTGTTTATGTCATCAGGGAAGTTCCTTGTTCTTATTTCTGCTTACTCAAAGGTATATAGAGACAACTAGAACTTTGTAACATACCAAGCCAAATTATTTAAAATCAAGGAGTAAGAAAAGTCCAGAAAATATATTTAAAAGAATACTAATAAGGGGTGACATGTACTGCCAGATATTAAAACATATACCTATGAACAATAATTGAGAAAGTATGGTATGGGGTGAGTGGTATAGAATACAAAGTCCAGAAGCACGAACACATTTAACACAAGATAGAGGTCCCATTTCTGATAATAACTACAGTCTTTTATTTACTCAACTAATATTTTTTATTTTTAAACCTTTATTGGAGTATAATTTACATACCATAAAATTTAGCCATTTTAAGTGTATAATACAATGATTAGTAAATTTGAGCTGTGCAGTTTTAGAACATTATTACCTCAATAAGATCCCTCAAGCCAGTTTACAGTCAATCTCCATTTCTACCCCAACCCCAGGCAACTATTAATCTACATTCTGTCTCTATAAATTTGCCTTTTCTGGACATTTCATATAAATAGAATCATACAATATGTAGTCTTTAGGGTCTGGCTTCTTTCTACATTATACTTAAAAATAATGTGTTCAACCAATTTTACTGAGCAGCCACTTTACTCCAGGCACTATAAACTAGGCAACTGGTGACCAAAAAGAGACATATGGATCTAATGGTCTAGTGGGGTAACAGACGGCAAACAAATCATCTAAATGCAAAATTTCAAATAAGTTTCAAGATTCTCTGGGAACAAGACCGAAGTTACATTTGGCTGAGACTGAAGAATAGGTGTTAATTAGACAAAGCAAAGAATTTCAGAGGGAATGGGAAGTGCCCAGGAGTAGGAAAGAACTTGTTTAAAAGGGACTGAGGAATGTTTGGCTGGAGTTCAGAGAGGAAAGAATAGTGTCAGACAAGGTTGGAGAAAGGCAGGGGTCCAATCAACATTGGGAATTATTAAGCCATGCTAAAGCAATGGGAAGCCACTGCAGTGTTGTAAATTATGTTGCCAGGGGGAAATGAGAGACATGAAAGGTTTGTTTAGAAAGACCCACTCTAGTTGCAGGGTGAATAAATTAGAAGAGAGTCAATATGGATGTAGGGAGTACAATTAGGAGGCAGTTTGTTGAGTTAGGTGCGTCTCTTTGGGGTCCTCACTGGTATGTAAGATGAAGCCTGTCTGGGTGTCATGTACCAGCTTCAAGTGTGAATTCCACAAAGCCACATAACATGGGTTAAATAATGGGCTTCATTGTGGAAAATAAAAATTTATAGGGCTGGAATAGCTAGAAAAAATAAGGCACAGACCCCTTCATCTTCTTGTCATCCTATGCAAAGGCAAGCTGAGAGCCAGAGCACTGTTTGTTTTCAGTTCTCGTCCTCCTTTTTATAGAGCAAGGGTGAAGAAGTCTTGTCAGTGGAGGAATACACAAGCTGCTGAGCAACGAGTAGTTAGGTTTTGGGATGCCAATGTTTTATGGAAGTCTGGGAATGCCAGTTGTCCACAGAATGTTACAATCTCCATTGCTGGGGTGAAAAATACACCAGTTCTGTGGGACCTGAGCTTGGGTGCAGTCCCTTCCTCTAGGAGAAAGGGGAACCCCCCAGCCACAGCTAGCTTATTCTCTAGGTAAGCCAGAATGAACTGCCAGGTCACAGTCTGAGGGTCTTGCTCATTGTACTGCAGGGGCTACTAGCATCTAGATAGGGGTTGGCAAACTTTTTATGTAAAGGGCCACATAGAAAATAGTTTCGGTTTTGTGAGCCTCTCTGTCACAGTGACTCAGATCTGTTCTTTTAGCATGAGCAGTCATAAACAACAGGTAAACAAACAGATGTGTCTCTGTTCCAAAAAAACCTGTATTTACAAAAATAAGCGGCAGCCTACATTTGGCCCATTTGCTGATCCCTGGTCTATTCAAGAGATTAAGGTAATCAGAGAGATGGCAGTGGAAATGAAGTATTTTGGAAGTACTTTGAAAGACAAAATGTGTAGAACTTGGAGATGAATATGAGAAAGACAAAGAAGAGGGACCTGCCAAGGAACTCATTCATGTGTATTTATATATTCTAGCCTTCTTTTTTCCACCCAAATTGTAGTGTTCTAAATTTTTTTTCCTATAATTTATCTTTGAAATCTTTCTTTTCATTACATAAAGAGCTTTACAGTTCCCAATCATGTCTGAATAGTATTCCTTTGTGTATATGTAACTAAACAAACCGGTTTGTTTCCAATCATTTGTTTTTATAAACAATGCTGTAACAAATTACCTTGTATTACATAAATTTGCCAAATAATTTATAAGATAGCATTGTTGGGTCCAAAGACATTTGTAATTTTGATAGAATGGCTTTTTTGTTATTTGTTTTTATTAGTTATACGAGCGTGTAGATTTAAGGATCAAATAATTCTACAAGGTTTTAGTTTTAAAAAGCTAGAGAGACATCATTCTCAGAGGCACCACTTTTATCCATTTTTTATTTTTTCAATTTACTCTCATGACTGTACATGACACGATGCTTCGTGAATTTTCAGTTTAGCATTACCCGTGGGCTTCCCACTACGGAGGATGAGGATTTGGCTTTCTTTCCTATCCTGTCTTCATTACACACAAGCGTGCAGTCTCCTGCACATCTTTTCCAAGGGACCTCCCTAAGGTAGCTTGTAAGGGCGGCACACCCCTGCAAGCTTCCCAGCATTTCACCTCGGTTGTGACACTCTCCGCCGCCTTAAGCCATAAAGCCCCCGGAAGCTTGAGGGACAGGGGCGTTCCTTCTCCATCCTCCACCCACTACACCATTCGTGAGTTCAGGCCTCATAGGCTAGGCCAGGAAAGAGGCGGAACTCCGTGTTACTGGGGCAGTTTCCCCGCCGGATCCAAAAGAGGAGTGCACCGAGTGTCGCGGGAGCGGCGCTTTGGTCTTCTGCACCCGCGATATGGCTTTCAACTTTGTGGTTCCTTCGGGCACCTCGGGCACCGCTGCAGCCACCGCGGCCCCAGCGGGTGAGTGATACCCTCAGACCTTCTCTTGGGGAGGAGGGAAGACCTCTGGTCCGCCCCCTCGGTCCGAGACTCTCCGGCTTGGGGAGCCTGGGGTATCCTGCCCGCGCGGAGGCTTTAGGGTTTCAGAAAAGGACTCGCGGCGGCGGAGTGGGCCGAGGCGGCTCTTGGGGAGGCCACGGGGCTACTAGAGGCCCAATCTGGAGCTCGCACGCTGCGTGTGGGTCCCCGCAGGGCTCTGCCTTCCTAGGGTTCGCTTCCCGCCTCCGCAGAGTCGGACTCGTAGAGACCTGAAGCGGCTCCTCAGTTCCCTTGCCGGAGACCCACCCTCTCCTTCCCCCCTCAGCCTCCTGGACCCGCGGGAACGCTCACATGGCTCCAGCTGCTGGGCCCGGCGAGGATAGGACTGGGGGCGTCCCTCGGGCTCACCCCTGCGGCTCCTGGGTCCCAGCCCTTGAGGGGCGGGGGCCTTCGCCCTGGCTCCTTTGGTCCTCGCTAGGGGTCTTCACGCTCCTGCTCCTTCCTCCTGTCCCTGCACCTCCTCCGCTTTCTTAACTTGTTTGGAGCAAAGTCAAAGTTTGTCTTTGTTCACTTCTGTGAAACTTCCTGCAGACTCTTCTAATCCTTATCTCGCTTTCTTTTCCTTTTCTTCTTCTTCTTTCCCCTCTCCCCTTTTAAATTTTTGTTTGTTTGTTTCTTTGCCTACACGCCTATCAGGATTTGGTGGGCTTGAGACTGCCAACTCCACCGCCAGTGGGTTTAATTTTGGGGGTTTCGGATTAACTGCTAATCCTGCAGTGAACTTTAATATTGGGAATTTCGGTGTTTCTACTACCTCGGCGACTCCGTTCAATTTTGGTAACAGTCTGGCAAGTGCAGGTAGATACTGCGGATCGTATGTGTAACGAATGTTGGGAGCTGGAGTCCAAGAATATTTTGTGGTTCCTAGAGTGTGGGAAAGAACAGCGAGTTGTCTCATAAGGAAAGGAAATTTCTCTCGTAACGTCGAATCAAAAACGTTTGTTATCAAGTTTTGACTGTCTTAAAGGATTTAGGTTTGAGAAGTCTCGCAAATTATAATGTTCCTTTGTTAAGTTTGCATTTAACTGAACAGAATGTAACTTCCAAGTGATAATTTGGAATGGATTATTATTTTGAGTAGAATGTGTCTTCCAAATAATAAGATACCTCTTCCAAAGTACAAGTTTAACACTCAGGCCCATTTTCTTGGGATTCTTGGACTCCTGCAGTCATTTTTTTTTTCTTTTCCATTTTTCCTGCATCTTTCATTGGAATTTCATTTGATTGTCCTTGTGTTTCCCAAGAGAACAAGTCTTATACGAACAGCAGTAACCTGTCTTGTTTTTTGATCTGTATAATAATAATAATGTATTTGTTCAATTCAGCAAATTAGTATATATTCTATAAGTTATGTAATTATAGAAAGGATCCCCAGTTCTTTACTGAATAATTTGAGAAATGATCAGAGAGAGCAATTCGATTAATTGTCAGCATTGAGTTCTAAAAGGTAGGCTAGACATCTTCGTAATCAAAGAATTAATTATGAAGCTCATAGGTGAATTCTTTTAAGCTCATTGGAAATTTTGCAAACACAAGCTATAGTGTGTCTGTATATGTATAAATTTAAAATAGGTCTATGTATACTTTACATACAATGACCCAATAGAAGTCTTGTTCCTCAGCTGCTCGTATATGAATTTATTGTCCATATTCTCTTACATTATGCCACTTATACCCATGCCAATTATATGCATTTGGTAAACACTTATATACTAAAACTTATTTTCGAAGTCTGGTATTTTGTGCAGTCACTTGTTACTGCAGTGTGAATATCACCTTGGCCATCTGATTTGAAAACATTTGGAAGAAACCTTGAAAATTCCAGAAATAAAATAATCCATTATCATTAAGATATATTTAAAGTGATCACACATTACTGTTATTTGGTATGTTTACTTTTCTCTGTTTGCTTAAAATTGGCATTGGGTAAATCAGAAACATTATTTTGAAATTTGTGTTTCTGAATAAAGCCACTCAGCTGTATTGTAATTCACCAATAATAAATAAACCTGTTGGTATTTGCTTGATTTCATGTTCATTTGGAGTTGTTACTGTTAAGTTTTGAATTGTGATAATACAACTGTGTTTTAAGTACTTTTATGTATATGTTCATTAACTTAGCCTTCAGCAAAGGGCTGATAGAAGTTCTTCTTTACTTTTTTATTTTGTATCCTTCCAGATCCACTATTACTAATAAACATTTGGTATTACAGAGAATGATAAGATCCTGGCTGATATTTTTATCATGTAGCCAATTCAGAATATATCTTAGTTTTTCTATGGAAGTGTGGAGTTATGAAAAAGATTAAGAACAATGTTCATACTTGAGGTGATTTTTAGCAAAAATGTTCACAGTTTGCAGTACTGCAACAGAACCTATAGTAAATAGAGTATTTGGTTGTGCCTGCATGTAACACGCAGTCTATTCTTGAGTAATTTTCCATACCAGAATTACATGATGAATATCAAAGGGTTGGAGTTGTTCCCTTCTCAAATCTTTTATGTCACAGCATTGATGAATCTCTGTCTCTTATACCAGAAATACATGAGATTAAAAGTTAGAATTCCAAAAAACCTGTGGCAGAGCTCAGAGAGTACTAATAGTTCAAACATTTGTCTTAAAAGTCTTTTTGGCACCACATTGATAATCAGGTAAAGACTGACAATAAGAAAAAAAAAAAGCGATTTTAGATTGGCTAGTATTTCATTCCATTCATATGTCAAGTTAGATATAGTTAAGATAATTTCATCTCTGCACTTACTCAAAAATGAAATTTGTATATCTGTTTGAGATGCCAAACTGGTACAGAAATAGGCCTATGATAGCTCTAGTCAGCTTCCCTGCCACTGCCTTCTACATGTGGTTTTCTTTCCCTCATCTCTTCTTTCAAGAAACACATTCTTGTTGTATAGAGGTCAGTATATTGGCATGTTTTCTTTAGTGTCAGTGGAGATTAGGTAGAAATATAAGCTAAAGTAGAATGTAAACTAATTGACCAAAGCCAAGGCTGCAAACTGGCAGTACACTCTCCCTTTACGATCTATTTGGCACACTATTTTAAAAACATCTGAATTCGTTGTAAAAAAAAAAAAAAAAAAACCATTAATAATAATAATAATAACCTAATTGAATTAGGGTTAAAAATTCTGTAAATTTCACATAGAAAATCTAAATCTTCTATTTCTCTTAGGAAAAATAGGAGTATATAGCACTGCTAACCTACCATTCTCCTGCAGCAATAATCTGCTGGAATTGAGGAACTGCTGCCATTTTTAAAAACTGTTCACATTGAACAGTTGTACCAGTCATTAAATACCCAGTCTGCTCCACTCATTAATGTTATCAGCTTAAATCTTGTAGGCAGTTGAGTTTGTGAAACACATGTCAATAGGCTTAACATGTTTTCTTAGCCATAACATAATCACCCCTTTAGTTGAAGGGTATATATTGCATTGTGGTACTTCTACTTCAGTCGTTTATTTCATACAACATATTGACTTTTTGATTAGTAGAATAGTTTTTTAAAAAAATGATGTTGAAAGTAGAGAAAGGAAAATTAGATCAGTATAATAGTTTATATGTAGCAATTGTAAAATAATTGGAAAAGTAAGTTATTTCTTAACGTATACAAAAAATTTTTTCTGTTTTATTATCCCTTTATAATTAGGTGGGTTTGGAGGATTTGGGACAACATCTACAACAGCAGGTTCTGCATTCAGCTTTTCTGCTCCAGCTAACACAGGCACTACGGGTAAGAGCAATCATAATTCATTTGTAGAAGTAAATGAGCTAGAGGTCAGATTTTTTTTTTTTAACTTACACAATTTCAATTTTTCATTCAAAGGACTCTTCGGTGGTACTCAGAACAAAGGTTTTGGATTTGGTACTGGTTTTGGCACAACAACTGGAACTAGTACTGGTTTAGGTACTAGTTTGGGAACTGGACTGGGATTTGGAGGATTTAATACACAGCAGCAGCAGCAGCAAACTAGTAAGTATGAGGTTTTCATCTTACTTCCAATATAAATCCATAACAATACAGCTAACATCATTGAGTGCACTTTAGTGGATACCTTTTTTTGAAGAATTATAAATATTATGTTTCACAGGTTTCCAAATGCTAGTACTTCTCAAGTTTATATATAACAATAGCAACTGGGGAGAAGACTAATTGGCATGAGTAGGATTATAGAGCAGCTGGGTTTAGTATCATTCCATTTAAATTTTTTATTGGGACGTGGTTCCATAGTGTAGCAGTTAGCACGTCTGCAGAAGGTCCTGGGTTCACGGCCCAGTGGAGCCATGGTCCATGGTCTATAGCCATGCCACCCTGAACAAGCCTGATGTCTGATCTCGGAAGCTAAGTAGGGTTAGGCCTGGTTAGTACTTGGATGGGAGACCACCTAGAAGGACTAGGTGCTGTAGGCATAAATAATAACAATAAACTAAAACTTTTTTGTTGTGCTAAATAAAAATAACACAAATATAGAAAACTGCAAAAAAGTACAGTTTAATGAAGTATATATAAAGTGAACACCTTTATAACCACTGCCTATATCAGGAGGTAGACCCTGGCCAGCCACTTGAGATGCCCTCAACATTCCCCTCCCAATCCGATCCCCATCAGAGGAACTGTATGGAACTATATGGTTTTTCGTGATAATCACTTTCTTTCTTTTGTCATTCAAGTGTATAAATAGTATTGCTTTCTTTGTCTTAAATCTCTGTAAGTTCTTCTTTTAGCTCTATTTGATTTTTCAATTTATTGAAGAAATCATTTGTCCCATAGGGTTTTTCAGTCAGGGCTTCACTGGTTGCATTCCTGTGGTATGATATAACATATTCCTTTGTTCTCTGTATTTCTTATAAGTTGGGTTGGATCTAGGGATTTATTTATATCACTAGTTCAGATTTTTGTTTGTTTGCAAGACTACTTTATAGGTAGTAATGGTGTATTCTTTATAAAGAGGGATATAATGTCTGATTGCCTCTAGTTTTCCTGACGTTAGCAGTAACTGTTGGTGATGATTACCTAGATCCATTAATTCACTAGGGGTTGCAAAATGGTATTATTCCTACCCTATGATTCTTTTTCCATATATTTGTTGAAGTACTTCTATAAAGAGAAGCTTTTCCTCATCTATTATTTGGTTGATTCTATCCCTTTATTATTAGTTTTCAAAATAAAAAATTGGTTCCCAATCATTCTCCAAAAGTGACCGATTAATTTTTTTTTAACGTCAGGAACTCAAGTATTTAAACTATTTGATGTTTTTTAATCCATTGCAGCTCTTATCCTTATTGATGCTTAAAATCGTTCCACCTTTGGCCGATACGAGCCTCTTCAGCTTCTTTTATACAAGTGCAGAATTAGTCTTTGATAGCTTCTTTACTAGCTGGTGTGGCATGGATTATTTAATTCTCCTAAGAACCCTATGAAATAATACTCGTGGTATTTCCATTTTATAGGTAAAGAGAGGAAACTGAATGATTGTGACTTTCCCATATACCTCCCAAGAAGTAATATAGGAACATAAATTTAAGTTCCTTGTCTTCCTGTGTAATACTCTTCACTTTTCCAGTCTGCTGTCTCTTAAAATCACTTTTGTTTCATTTTTCTTAGGTAACTTGATTGATTGGCTAAAATTTATCCTACTCAGTCTAAAGATTAGTAGTTTATTAAATGTGAATTTCAAGAATTGTCTAATCAATAGGACTAAGATAATATTAGTTTCAGAATTATTCTTTCTAGTGTTCTAATCATTCATGTTTTCTAATATCCTCGTGAAAATACAAAGTTTGATGGACATTTAAGTAGTTAAGGAGAAGAAAGGAAAAGTTTTATTTCTTTGTTTCTTGAAATAAAGTCTCTTCAATTATAAGTTCTTGTAGTTGCACTTTTAGGAAAAAAGGGAATTTGAATATGGTGCTATTCATTTTCAGAATGGAAGGGGTATTTGGTTATGTAGCAACCATTTATTGAGTGCATGTCGTATTTCAGGCGTCATATATATGAGATTGAAAACCACTATCCATGCTTAGTCTACAAAGAGAGTAACAAACATTCAATTAGATAGAATAATAAACATCCAATTATCGAATATATTTATGAGAGCACCCAATCAGGGTGCTATGGAATGCAGAAGAAGAGCTGAATCTTGAAGGAATTAACCAGTTAAAGTCAGAAAAGAGTATTCCAGGCAGAGGGAATAACATTGACAAAGGCCTGAATGCATGGCATAGCATAATGAATTCGGGATCTGCTGTTGGAAGGACTTTGAGTTTAATCTGTGAAGGTTATGGAGCTGTTGCCTTATTTTTTAAAACCACTGCTTATATGAGGCACTTGACTGTCTGAGATGATATGTTTTATCTCAGTTATCTGCTGCCTTCCTAAACAGTATCTCTTATTTGAAAACTTTGGCAACTGGCTCTTAGTCTTGCTTTTCCTTCAAACAACTGCCGTGAACCTGGGTTATTTTAGCATCATGTACCCACAGCCTTGCCATCTACTTTGTATTCCAAAGACCTTCTCTGTCTCACTTCAACCACAATTCTTACCCTGGCCCTTGGCAATATCTGAAATGATTCTAATTCTAGGATCAGTAATGTAACCATCTCACCACCTATTTCTCTTTTAGCCTGCCTTTTCAACTACTTCCAATATAGGTGTTCTCAGATCACTGACATTTTCTGCTCTTCCATAAGCTCTTTCCTGTCTTCACTATCCTTTCCAATTAGTTTAGATTCCACGTCCTTTCATTTCAGTCACTCTTGTCAATATGCTAAACTTCCTTGTCTTTGTATCACATCTGCCTGAAAAAAACCCAAACCCAAACCTATGTAAGCCCAATTGTCTATCAAGGTACCGCTTGAGAATAATCACACAATACAGAAGATTGAACAGTATCTCTAAATTCTTAATCACCAACCTCAGTTGGGGCCTCAGCATTGCCTGGTAATCCTACAAGTTTCTATCTTCAACTTATTCTCTCACTTACTATAACAGTTATTTTAAATTTGTTCTCTTCAGATCTCAAATTTCTCTGTTCTCGCTTTTAACAGATGGCTTGACCTCTACTTCTGAGAGAAAACAGAATCCCTCATTGTAATTCCATTAGCTTCTCACTACCAAATCAATTTACCTCCATTCCATCCTTTGCTCTTTTTCACTTGTGCCTTGGATTTCATATCCTCCTACCTTCTGGAGACCTTTGTGCTGTTGATTATTCTTCCCAACCCACCCCTATAAAAAAAGTCTCAACTTTTCTCCCAAGGATCCTTCTCATCCACAGTTAAACAATCTAAGTTCTTGTTTTCTTAAAATAGTAACAATAAAACAAAACTACTTTAATCTCACATCTCACTTCAGCTACCACTTCTCTTAAACTACTTGAAGTAGTTAGAAGAGAGTGGGATCCTCTCCTATCTTCTGTTACCCCTTAGCCCACATAATCTGTTTTCTGTTTTCTTTACTCAGTCGAATAGTTAAGGTCATTTATCATCTCAAATCCAATCAACACTTAACTGTTCTTTAATTATGAAAAATTCTAACACAAAAATAGCATAGTATGAACAATATAGATGTCTAACCAAGTACTTTAAGGCAAACAAATCCCAAGCATGTCATTTCACCCTTACTTTATTATTCTGCTCTCTTTAAAAACACAGACATCATTCCAACTCACAATTAATAATTCCTTAGTATCATCTAATACCCAGTCATTCTGGTTTGTTTGAATCATTATCCAAACAAGGTCCACGAATTTATTTTCTTACGTCTGTTAAGTTTCTTTTTAGTATAGAGAATTCCCCACTTTCTTTTTTCCTCTCTTAAGAGTTATTGCAGAAACTGTGCCAATTGTCCTGTGAAATGTCCCCCATTCTAGATTTGTTTGTTTCCTTGTAGTATCATTTAACTTTATCCTTCATATTTTCAGTAAATGAAGTCAGCTTTAGGTACTTTATTGTATTCAAGTTTGACTTTTTGGCACAAATACTTTGCAGGTGGTGCTATGTGCTTTGTATTGCATCTCATTAAGAGGTTATCCCTCTTTTAGTGAAGCTAAGATTGATCAGTAGATACAGGTGGTGAGAGCTAATCTGTTTTATAAAGTTCCCTATCACTTTTTAACCTAATGGTTTCATTCATTGATGATTATTGCCTCAATCAGTTATTTTATTAGGAGTTACAAAATAGTGATTTTTCTAATTCTGCCCTCCCATCCACATCCTGTAAAAGGACATTTTTCTTCATCTTGAAATACAATTTGGTCACCCTGAAATACAATTTGTATAGGAGAGACAGGATAAATTCCTTTTTTTATTGACAGTTTTTGTAAGAAATTGTTAGTGGCCTGATTATTTCCAATGGTGTCCAAAGAGTTGACATTAAAAACATTTTTTTCAAGTGTTTAAAAAAGTTAAATTGATTGAGTAACATTGGTTAATAACATTATATAATTTTGAGATGTACAAGATTAATACATCTGTGTACTTTATTGCCTGCTTCCCACCCCAAAGTAGTTTTCTTCTGTTTACTATATATTTCACCTCCCTTTACCCATTTCTCCCTCCCCCAACCCTTTTTCCCCTCTGGTAACCAGCATTCTGTTTTCGTTACTTTTTGTTTTATATTCTACATAAGAGTGAAATCATATGGTTTTTGTCTTTTTCTACCTGACTTATTTCACTTAGCATAATACTCTCAAGATCCATTCTTATTGTCACAGATGGCAGTATTTCATCTTTTTTTATGGCTGAGTAGGATGCCATTTTGTGTGTGTGTGTGTGTGTGTGTGTGTCCCACATCTTTATCCAGTCACTTGTCAGTGGATACTTAGGTTGTTTCCATGTCTTGGCTATTGTAAATAATGCTGCAATGAATGTTGGGGTACATATATTCTTACAAATATGTTTGTTGGCCATATGTATCTCTTCCTTGGAAAAGTATCTGTTTAGGTCTTCTGCCCATTTTTTAATTGACTTTTTTGTTGTTGAGTTGTGTGAGTTCTCCTTACATTTTGGATATTAACCCCTTACTGGAGGTATCGTTTCCAGATGTGTTCTCCCATTCAGTTGGTAGCCTTTTTGTTTTGTTGATGATTTCTTTAGCTGTGCAGAAGTTTTTTAGTTTGATGTAGTCCTCTTCATTTATTTTTGCTTTTACTTCCTTTGCCTTTGGGGTCAAGTTCACAAAAACCCTGGGAACAGCGTCCATAAGTTCAGTGCCTATGTTTTCTTCTATGTATTTTTATTGTTTCAGGTCTTACATTCAAGTCTTTAATCCATTTTGAGTTAATTTTCGTGTAGGTGTAAGATAATCTAGTTTCATTCTTTTGCATGTGGCTGTTCAATTTTCCTAGATTTTTAAAATTTTCGGTCTTTTAAAAATTATTTTGAATGCATGAGCTTTAATAAATTGAATGTATTTGAGTTGGTTGCATTCTTTATTTCTTTGATGTTCAAATTGTCACATTTTTGGCCAGTGTGAGTCCTTTCCTTCAGTGTCTATTTTTTTTCCTACCTTATTATTTAATAGTCCTTATTGCTTTGCCAGCTCTGTCTTCCCCTCTTTGCCACAGAGATTTTGCACATACTCTTTATCTTTGCCCCTACCTCGTGGCCGGGCAGACTATTTCCTTTAGTCCTTAGCTGAGGTTCTAGTGGGACAGCCTTCTCTTGACCCCTTCTCAGCTCGCTTAGCTCCTTCACTTAATTCTCAGATAGTCTGTACTTCTCTGAAGCATTTATCACAATTGTTAATATTTGTTTGATGTGCTCAGTTTATTTAAATAACCTTTGTGTCTTGTTTACCACTGTATTCTTAGTATTTAGTTCTATGTCTGATAGTAGGTACTCAGTAAATATTTGTCGAATGAATGCATGGTGAATGATGGATGAAAGGGGGTGTGTGTATAAAACCAGAAGAGACTGTATTGTCAGGAAATCTAAGGGAGAAGAGCTTTTCAGGGAGGATGTTTTTTCAGTGAAAGTTAAAGATTTTCAACAGCCGCGAGGGCCCTGAAAAGGTAGAAAGGTATGAGAAATATAATATGCTCAGGCTTGAAAGGAGTCCGTTGGATCTTATAATTTGAGTTCTCAATGTCTTTCAGCTAGTGAATTGTGAGGAGACTAGTGTGGTTGTAATCTAGTGTGAAGTATAAAAGGAGAAGCGGAATGTAAATCAGTACAGATGATAGTTAATTTATCTCACTTAAAAGTCTAGTTAGGAATTTCTCGGCCAAGGCTACAGAATGAGCTTATAGTAAATCGAGATTCAAGTCTTCTGGCTTCTACCAGTTCTCTATGATTTTCATATTTGCCCATTGGGGAATTTATAATAATACTCATCTAGTAGGTAACAGAAGCCCCACTCTGGCCCTTTAGAAGCCCCATTGATCTTGTACTTGAAATCTTTAGAGCTAAAAGAAAACTTAAATATTATCTAATATGATGGTCCTAAAACCCAGGTCATTTTGACATTATCATCATTATTTTTATCTATATATCACTTGTATTATTGTTTAAGGATTTTTAAAAATCAGTTTACTGTTAAACATTAAATACATTTATTTTAATAGAAAAATTCTTACCACTGCTATAAATGGAAAATCAATATCATTTGCTTTAAAGAAAAGATAATTGAAATTAAGATAACCAAAATTTAGTACTAAGAAAATATAATAGTGTTAATTAATTCTAGCCAAATACCTTAGACTTGTTCTCATCTTTGTTAAAAAGTAAGATAAGCAGGTGTCGTGAAGCATTAAAGGCATTCTGGCACCAAAATGAGACTTTTTATATATAATCAGATAATTAAAATAATTTTTTATGTGAATTTGTTCATTTAGTGACTAAGCTGTTGCTTGACAGCTGTAATATCATATACCAAGGATACTTACCTCGCACTTTGGAAATATTTATCTGATCTAACAACTTCACCATCTCTTTCTATCAGAGGTTAAGTGACTTGCCCAGAGTTGCACAGCCAGCTAAAGCTTTAAGCCTGGAATCCTGATGGTTGGTCCATTTGTTGTTCTTTTCACTATATATTTCTTTGTGATAAGAGAAGGAAAAGTGTTTATTAAGATGATAATGATGTAACACTGATATAATGATTCTTTTTGTTTATTTTGTATCTTTGTATCCAATTTGTATTTATAATACAAATATAACAGCAATAAAGGTTATTTTAAAAAACAATTTTGCAACTTCACAACCTTTACTTTTCTATATCTATGTGCCTTTTTTTTTTTTTGGTTTTTTTTTGATGTGGGTCTAATATGATGGACCCTGTTTGTGTTCTGGTAATGGAATTAATTATATTAAGATGATGCCATTAGAAAAGCAATTTTAACATTATAAGAATTGTCCTGGTATGTTAGTTTCCTATTGTTCCATAACAAAGTGTCACAGATATAGTGGCTTAAAACAACAAAAATGTATTGCTTACAGTTCTGGAGATCAGAAATCTAGAAATGGGTTTTACTGGGTTAAAATCAAGGTGTTGGCAGGGCTCTGTTACTTCTAGAGGCTCTAGGGGAGAATCCATTCCTTTGTCTTGTGCAGCTTCGAGAGTCTCTGCATTTCTTGGATTGTAGCCCCCTCCTCCATCCTCAAAGCCAGCTGCATCCCATCTTCAGATCTCTCTTTTATCTGACCTCCCTCTTCCTGTTTAAGGACCCTTATGATTATGTTGAGCCCATTCTGATAATCCAAGATAATCCCAACTTAATCTCTTAATCATATCTGCAAAGTCTTGTTTGCTGTATAAAGAAACATATTTACAGATTCTGGGGATTGGGTTGTGGACATCTTTGTTGGGTGGGGAGCAATATTCTGCCTACCATACCTAGGATCTGAATTGATTTTTTTTTTTTTTGAAATACTAATTTTGGGGTATATTTTTAGCATTAGGTGGTCTCTTCAGTCAGCCTACACAAGCTCCTGCCCAGTCCAACCAACTGATAAATACTGCAAGTGCTCTTTCTGCTCCAACGCTATTAGGAGATGAGAGGGATGCTATTTTGGCAAAATGGAATCAACTGCAGGCCTTTTGGGGAACAGGAAAAGGATATTTCAATAATAACATTCCACCAGTGGAATTCACACAAGAAAATCCCTTTTGCCGATTTAAGGTATTAATATTGCTTTTGCTCTTCACTTGGAAAGTGTGCATAAGAGAATATGATATGTAGATTAAAATAATATTAAGAAAACAATTGCTTGTTATTTTAGTACCTTGAGTGTGGTACAATTATACTTTCATTTTAAAAATACAGAAATTATAATATAGAAGTGATTTCTTACATTTGTGTGATTAAAGGTGACCAGGAAGGTATGAATAGAATGTAATTTATAATTGAGGAAAAAGTGTTAACAGAAGGGAAATGGTCTGCTTGGCATCTTTAAAGAGGAGATGTAAAACTAGAATTTAATGATAGTCATCTAACATTATCCGGGAAAGTGTACCCTAATCAGCAGACAGGACTTTCTGTTCTGGTTGGCATGTACAATCCTATTGTCATTATTATAGCTGGATGCCAAAGCTGTTAAAACAGTGTAGTCCATTTTCTTTGTTCTCATTCTGTGCCTAGCAAACATAAAATCTTTCCATTTGAATTTGACTTTTCAAAGATTCTGTTCATCAGCCAGTGAGGGGTATTTAGGTCAGTTTGTGGTGAATTTTTATAACAAATTAGCATATTGCAATCCAGTTTATACTTCAGCCTCTTTTGAGTTTTGTTGACCGATGTCAGTCTCTGAAACCTAAACATAAGCCTGTCCTTGGAGCTGCAAAGCTGAGAATTAGACCCTAGAACAAGATTAAACAATAAAAAGTGACTAGCCAATCTTGTTAGGGAACATCTCATTATCTCATCACTCTGACAAAAAGTGTTTAGTGACTAAGAGGTATACACTAGACATAAGTTGACTATAACAATTTAATTTTTAAATTGATAACACAAATGGTAAAATGCATAATGAACTAATCCAGAGTGAATTTAAATTCTTTTCAAAACCTTGTGTTATAAGTGGTGACAAAAGAGAAAAGGCTTCTATCTAAAAGATTAATTCCCTAAAAAGATAGTTTGTCATATTTAATATTATGTGAAAAAATACTAGCCCATTATATAAGTTTTGTATTACAGAAAACCATAAAATGACGTAGACATTCTTGATAGTATGTATAAGTTGACTATGTTATTATTTTACTTTAAAAGTACTTGTTTAATAAATCATTTCTTTATATATCTAAAACTTAAGATTCCATGAGTCTGATATGTAGTAAAATGACATACATTTTGGTCCATGACTTTTGTAGTCATTTTTATACGACAGAGTTATTTCAGTAGTGTGCAGAAACACCTAACAATAATATCAAAGTTTTTCAGAGGAGAAAGCTATTTAGTTACTCCATTGAAAAGGAAATTTTAACTTTACTCTATAAATTTCTTGGGTAAAATAATTTCTCTTTATACTTGCGTGACCTTCTAGGGCACAAGGAGAAAAGAATCATTATTTCCTTTACTACCAGACCTTAAGCTGTTTTCCCTATTTTAGCACATATGAAGCTATTAATATTAAATACCTGATTTAAGATCTGTACATATTTTTGATATTATTTATTTTGTCATCCCACAGGCAGTAGGTTATAGTTGTATGCCCAATAATAAAGATGAAGATGGGCTAGTGGTTTTAATTTTCAACAAAAAAGAAACAGATATTCGAAGCCAGCAACAGCAATTGGTAGAATCGTTGCATAAAGTTTTGGCAGGAAACCAGACCCTCACTGTAAATGTAGAGGGTATTAAAACGTTGCCAGATGATCAGTAAGTATACATTAAATATACTATTTATTTCTGTGTGCCTTGGCCCAAAGAAAGTGATCCAAAGTGTTTTTGTTGCTAAAACAATTATATCTCAGAGCAGAATGTTATTTCTCAGCTAGTGATTTTTCAGTACTTACATAGAAATGTTTAAAAGCTTTTTTCTTAATCTTGGATTTTGTAATTTATTAGATGCTAGTAATTTCTTAGATTTTTTCATTTAGAAACAGGAAGAAACAATTGTGGCTGTATACAAATCAAGAGCCACAGAGAGGTTAATGGAAAGTTTTAACTGATTAGTATTCATGTTCATTCATGGATAAATATGATTGATTAACTTCTGTTGTCCTGCAATTTTCACACTTAGTGGCAAGACATTTGCTTTAGGCTGTCTTTGGTTTAGAATTATTGTTATTAGATAACTTAAATCATATTTTACTTCTTGGTCTTAACTTGCAGTAAAACAGCCCATGGACTTCAACAGAATTTCCAAAATACTTCTTGAATCTAGAAAAAAATAATAAATAATATTTACATAGGACTTTGCAGCTAAGCAAACATTTTACAAATACTATCTTATTTGCCTTTAATCTCATTTTAACTTCATCATTTAAGTTGCTTTATAGTTGAACATAACATTAAGTAAAGGTTCCTTATTTTCAGAGAGTTAAGAAAAAAATTTTTAATTCCCTTCTAAAACCATTTCTGAACTCAGCTAGTGCCCTTTGAAAATCACATACTGCATTGATATTTATGGTTATGAGTTATGTGCTCCATATTTTATAATTTGGTTATTTTTTTCCCAGGACAGAAGTTGTCATTTATGTTGTTGAGCGTTCTCCAAATGGTACTTCAAGAAGAGTTCCAGCTACAACACTATATACGCATTTTGAACAAACCAATATAAAAACACAACTGCAGCAACTTGGTGTAACTCTTTCAATGACTAGAACAGAACTTTCTCCTGCACAGATCAAACAGCTTTTACAGAATCCTCCTGCTGGTATGTTTCAAGACGCATAGAGTTGAGGAAATGAAAGACTTAGAAATATATGCGTCCACTATTTTGGGAGGTATTGGTTATTAATGTTATTAAAAACTAGTGTCAGTTTATTACATGTCTGTTTATTTAGGACATAGTTTTGAATGTTTTTATTGTATTCATTCATCTAGTGTTTTTATTATATAGCTAATATGTTTGCTAGAAATTTGGGGAAATTACAAGCTAAAGGAAAATTGTCCATAATCCATCTACCCAAAGGTAATTTACTTTTAATATTTTGATTTATTTTTTTCTAGTTTGTCTCTCATTTTAACTGAGTATTCAAGTAAAACCTGAATGTGTTCTCACTGTAAAAGATTCTAGATGGCATAACTAGGTTGACTATATGACAGATCCTTCTCTATCTCCTTTCCACAGAAGTAACTACTATTAATAATTTATTGTGCTATTAGTCTTTTATCTGTGATTTTAATACAAACATATGTACATGGAAGTCTTTAAAAAAAGGATTCTGCCCTGTACATTTACTGCATCTTGCCCTTACAGTATTTCTTAGTATTTTCCATGTCGGGTCATAAAGGTAAATCTTATTCTTTTTAAAAACTACATGGAATACCGTGAATGTACCTTACATGACCTAACCTCTAGTTTTTTACCTTTTCACTGTTAAAAACTATGCAACAATTAACATCCTCATAAATATGTCTTAGAATACATGGGTATTTTTTTTTTAGACTAGATCTCTGGTAATGAAATTTTTGAGTCAAGATTATGTATACTTTATATGTTGTTAGCTACTGCCAAACTGCTCTCCAGAGAAAGTTCTACCATTTACATTCATAACAGGAATGTGTTGTTTTTCTCATATTTTCTCATATCTTTCATTTTTCTAGTATTTTCTAATTTTGCTCTAGTGTGTCAACAATGATTACCTTTTACATTTTGCTACTCTGATGACAAAAAATTAATAGCTATTTTCATTTGGATTTCTCTGATTACTAGTAAAGTTGGGCATCTTTTTGTAAATTTATTAGCCACGTTTGTATTTTTTGCGAACTACCTATTCATGTCCTTTACCCATTTGCTTAGATTTTTTTTATCTTCCTGATTTATAGGAGCTCTTTCTATACTCTGAAGATTAATCTGTTATCCTATAGGTTATCTTATAGGTATTTCCTATCTATACTTTTTTTAGCTTTATCCCACAAAAATTTTTATTTTTATCGTGGCCATATTTGACAGCCATTTTTCATTACAGCTTATGGGTTTTGCGTCTTATTTTGGGAAGGCCTTTCCCATACAAATATTATAAAAATGGAAAATAGTTTCTTTTAGAAAAAAATTTTTTCTTTGTGGTAGGTGTTGATCCTATTATCTGGGAACAAGCCAAGGTGGATAACCCTGATTCTGAAAAGTAAGTATATCTTCATCTTTCTTTTCCTATAAGAACTAATACTTACTATTAGGAAAGCAAAAAAAATTTAAGCTATTAATTTTAATTCTTAGATTTGAGATGAGTTTATTTTCATTTCTGTTGCTTTTTACAGAATGTTGACTATGGTACGGCAGCGTAGTGTGGTGAAAACATTGACATCTGAGTACTAATACCCTAATTATATTTGCATTTAATAATGCAACTTTTGACTGAACTCTGTTTCCTCCTTTGTAAAATAGGGAGGGTAAATAAATCTCTGCAGTGTAACATTGTTGATTTCATAGTCCTAGATTTGTCCCTAAACCCTAGAAATTTAATGTGAAATTATATGAATGTTATCACGAAAACCTTAAGTTCTCATATTTTGTAATAGATTTAGGGCCTGAAAATTGACCACTTGCATTTCTTCAGGTTAATTCCTGTACCAATGGTGGGTTTCAAAGAACTTCTTCGAAGACTGAAGGTTCAAGATCAGATGACTAAGCAGCATCAGACCAGATTAGATGTAAGCATTTTCAGCTTCGTTTTCTGGCTCTGGGAATAGTAAAAGGGATCACAGACATTTCTTTTTACCATGTGTGTTATTATTTTATCTTATAGGGAAACAATATAGTATATACTGCAAATTAACAATTATAGTTTTATGCAACTACTTTTTTTATTATAGGGTCTCCAAAATCATGTAAATCTGATTTGATGTATTTTAACAATGAATTTAAAATTGTTGCCTTAGCAAGTTAGATTTCCATTCTGGTTCCAGCCATAGAATGAATATTATTTGCTTTATTAAACACTTTTTATTTATGGGGCCTTATGAAAATGGAGGCTGTGATTCTTCATGTTGTCACAGTATGTTATAATTGTAGGTTAATGAAGCAGAATTAAATTATTAAATGCTTAAATCTACATAATATTTTATAAAGTAGACTTTCATAATCAAATAACTGAACATTCTTAAAGGTCACCTCTAAATTCTCTAAATGGAATTTCTGATGAGATATTCATTCGGATTGTTTGAGTAATGAAAAGCTTACTGTTTTATGAAGCAACCCATTTTGTTACCAAACTCAGGTATGGCTACTTGCTGCTCATGAGCCAATAGTCCAGAGACAAGGGTTAGGGGCGCGGAAAGCAGGTTTATTCAAAAGCTGGCACCCTGAAAAGATGGTGGACTGCTGTCACAAAGACCATCTGACCATCTTGCAGCTTGTGCTTCAGTGCCAGCAGGGGTTACAGGGAGAGGGCTAGGTAAGAGACAAGGGCTGACTAAGGGACAAGGGAGAAATTCGGAGCCACATCCTGGAGGGAAGGGAGAATGTCTCTGGGTCTACTATCTTGTCTTCTTTTTTATCCTGTCTCCTGGCCATGGCTTGTTTCTCAGGCCACCTGGAAGGAAGGTAAGTGAAACAAAGGAATTACCAAGGAGGGGTAAGGAACTCCTCTTTTCCCGTGGAGTCCTTTGCACAGCATGTTCTGGTAAGGAGGTCTGGGAAGGATTTTTGCAGTCAGTCTTCTGGCACCCAGATGTCTGGGAATGAAGCCAGCTTCCTTCGAAGCCTATGGTTCTCAAGCAAGCAAGCTTATCTACAAGTAACACATTATCTCAAGCAAGCAAGTTTATCTACAGGTAACACATTAGTTAACAAGGCATTTTTATTTACATAAAAATGTGAATAAGGTTATAAGGACAAAAAATGGTTATAATCTTAAAACTATAATAAAACAACAATCATAGTTACAATCCCCACTGTCATTTGTTTCCATTTCAAAGGAAGTTTTGTTGTTCTACCTATAATGGACTCATGGGACAATAATTTATCATGAAATGCTCAAACTTGCAATGAGACATGGTGTTCAGTTCCTCTAGTCGGAGGAAGAGTCGCAAGGTGCATTTGCTTTCTAATTGTATAATTATGATTATTTTGAACATTCTGTAAGAGACTAATGTTAACATTAATACTGTTACGCCTAACTTTACAGCTCCTCTTAGGACAGATTTTATTTCCAATAGTATCCAAGAAAATAAATCAGAAAACCAATCTCTCATGTCTTGGAACAAAGGAGTAGGCATATAAAGGTGGAAGGGTAAGGGTAGAAAAAAACCAAGTGAGTCACAGTGTTATTGTATTAGGCAAAGCCTGTTTGAATCAGAGAAAAAGAGCTGTATCAAAGAAGTGAAGCCTGTGTATGGTTAAAATTTCCCTGTCGGCTAGCTCTGATACAAATTCTCTCTTACATTGATCCAGTATATCTTATCTACTTTCCTATAATTACACCCGTTTTCTTTGGCATTGCTCTGTAGGTTATCACTGTGCTTCCCATGACAGCTCTACAGATATTCAAACATAATCATTCTTCCTTTTTAGTATTTCTTCTCTAGCTGTAAATTCCAGCATGATTTTGCATGTGACATACCTAAACCCTTCATTTTCTTAGGTTTTCATTGATTTTCTCTAGTTTTCTGTTTATTATTTGATTAATTTCTTCTCTTAAACATTTCCTTTATTCTTGCTTTCGGTTTTTCTCTTAGTTTTCTAATTTTTTAAGGTAGCAGCTTAGGTTATTGAGACCTTTCATCTTTTTAATATAAGAATTTAATGCTGTTAATTTCCTTCTAAGCACTGTTTTATCTGAATCTCACAAATTTCGATAATGTATTTTCATCTTTAGTCCATTCAAAATATTTTCTAATTTTCCTTGAGAGTTCTGTTTGACTGTTGGATTTTTTGACTAATGGATCATTTAGAAGTATTTTTCATTTCCAGATGCTTGGAGATTTTCCTGTTATTCTGTTGTTGACTTCTAGTCTGATTCTGTTATGGTGAGGGAATTTTGTATGATTTCAATTCTTTGAACTTTGTTACGGTTTTTAACCCACATGCCTTTGAAAAGAATGTATATTCTGCTGTTCTTGGTGGAGTTTTCTGTTAGTGTAAGATCATTTTGTGGATTGTTTAGCTTTCTATATTCTGACTGATTTTTCTGTTTAGTTCTACAGTGAGAGGAGAGTTGAAGTTTCCAGCTACAACTGATTTGTCATTTTCTCCTTTTCATCGTATTCATTTTTGCTTCATGTTTTTTGAAGGTCTGTTGTTAGGTACATATGTATCTAGGATCGTTACATTTAATGGCAAACTTAGCTTTTATTACTATATGTCCCTCTTTATCCCTGGTCTACTTTCTCTGGTATTAACATAAAGCCACTCTATTTTTTTTTTTTTGATTAGTGTTTGTATGGTATATCTGTTTCCATCCTTTTACTTTTAACCTACCTTGAGTCACATGCCGCTTGAGGGGGATGGATTCAGAGATATGTGTTAGGTGATTTTGTCATTGTGTGAACATCATAGAGTGCACCTACACAAACCTAGATGGTAGAGTGTGCTACATACCTAGTCTGTATCTATATGGTACAGCCTATTGCTCCTAGGCTACAAGCCTGTACAGCATGCTACTGTGTAAAACAACATGAGGTTAAATCAAGCACAAGAGAATGATGTAATCAGGAGATGGGGTAAACAGGAGATTATGAGGCTGCTACTGATGTAACACAGCCTAGTGTTCTATAGCAAACTTTTTTATAAGTAGAAAGCGTACACTCTAAAATAATGATAAAAAGTATAGTAAATACATAAACTAGTAACAGTTTATTATCAATATGTACTGTACATAATCATATGTGTTACACTTTTATATGTCTGGCAGTGCAGTAGGCTTGTTTACAGCAACATCACTATAAACGTGATTAATGCACGAGCTATGACCTTAAGACAACTGTGACATCACTAGGTGATAGAAATTGTTCAGCTCCATTATAATAATCTATGGGACTGCTGTTATATATATGGCCCATCATCAATCAAAACATTGTTATACAGAGCATAATGTATATCATATTTAAAATGACTCTAATAAAAGCATAAAGTTGTAATTTAGGCCTACTATTTTATTACTTGTTTTTTGTTCCCTCTGTTTTTCATTCCTGTTTCCTCTTCTCTGCTTTTTTTTTTTTTGGACTTTTTTTTAGCATTTTATTTTTAATTTGTTGTCATTTCAACGATCAGTTTCTTTAGTGCTTGCTCTAGGGCAGTACCTCTCAGTTGGAGATTGTGGTGGTGGAGTTGCTGGTGGTGATTTTGTCCCCCAAGGCACATTTGGCATTGTCTGGAGACTTGTTTGGTTGTTAAAACTGGGGAGTGCTACAGGTATCTAGTGGTAGAGGCCAGGATGCTAATAAACATCCTACAGTGTACAGAACAGTGCCATTGCAACAAAGAATTATCTGGCCTAAATTAATACAGGCATACCTCGTTTTATTGCTCTTTGCTTTATTGCACTTCACCGAGGTTGCATGTTTTACAAATTGAAGGTTTATAGCAACCTTTCATCCAACAAGTCTTTCCATGCCATTTTCCAACAGTATTAGCTTACTTTGTGTCTCTGTGTCACATTTTGGTCTCTCAGTATTTCAAACTTTTTGATTATATTTGTTATGGTGATCCATGATCAGTGATCTTTGATGTTACTATTGTAATTGTTTTGGGGCTCCACGAACCACACCCATGTAAGATGGCAAACTTACTTGATAAATGTGTGTGTTCTGACTACTCCACTAACCAGCCATTCCCCTATCTCCCTCCTTACCGGGCCTCTCTATTCTCTGAGATACTACAATATTGAAATTAGGCCATTTAATAACCTACAATGGTCTCTCAGTGTAAAAGTGAAAGGAAGAGTTGTAAGTCTCTCACTTCAAATCAAAAGCTATAAATGATCAAGCTTAGTGAAGAAGGCATGTCAAAAACCGAAGTAGGCTAAAAGCTAGGCCTCTTACCCCAAACAGTGAGCCAAATTGTGAATACAAAGGAAAAGCTTTTGAAAGAAATTAAAAGTCCTACTCCGGTGAACATGATTAGATGCATGATTAGAAAGTGAAAACAGCCTTATTGCTGATATGGGGAAAGTTTTAGTGGTCTCAATGTCGTTAAGAACATTTGCGATTCCTGGGAAGAGTTCAAAATATCAACATTAACAGGAGTTTGAAAAGTTTGATCCCATCCCTCATGAATGACTTTGAAAGGTTTAAGACTTAAGTGAGGGAAGTAACTGCAGATGTAGTGGAAGTAGCAAGAGAACTAGAGTTAGAAGTGAAGCCTGAAGATGTGACCGAACTGCTGCAGTCTCATAACTAACGGATGAGGAGATGGATGAGCAAAGAAAGTGTTTTCTTGAGATGGATGGAATCTACTTCTGATGAAAGATGCTGTGAAGATTGATTAAATGACCACAAAGGATTTAAATATTACATAAGCTTCCTTGATAAAGCAGCAGCAAGGTTTGAGGTTATAATTTTGAAAGCTTCATGAGTAAAATGCTATCAAACAGCATCACATGCTAGAGAAATCATTTGTGAAAGGAAGACTCAATGCAGCAACTTCATTGTCTTATTTTAAGAAATTGCCACAGCCACGCCAGCCTTCAGCGACCACCACTCTGATCAGTCAGCAGCCATCAACATCAAAGCAAGACTCAACACAGCAAAGATTATGACTCAGTAAAGGCTAAGATGATGGTTAGCATTTTTTAGCAATAAAATATTTTAAAATTAAGGTTATGTACATTATTTTTTAGACATAATGCTACATACTTAATAGACTAATGTAGTGTAAACATGACTTTTTTATGCACTAGAAACCAAAAAAATTTGTGACTTATTTATTGCGATATTTTTATTGCGGTGCTTTGGAATTGAACCCACAATATCTCTTGAGGTACGCCTGTACCTGTAGTGACAAAGTTGAGAAACCCTTCTCTAGATATTTTATAATGGTGTATCTCCTTACACCAAATCTAATAGGCTTTTCTTGGAGCTGTCAGCATGATGCCCACTTCCAGGTTTTGATCTGTTGAAACCAGACTAGGGTAATGCCTGAGGGGAAAAAATGGTAAACTCACCACCACTTCAGTGATACTTCAAATTTATGTCTTCTTCCCTGATCCTCCTGCAACTATTTATTTTTGAGAGTCCTCAAATAATTGCCTGGGCATTCTTTTCAAATTTTAAAGCTATATTTAATAGGAGAGGATAGAGTGGCATATATGTAGTTATCTTGTCCAGAATCAATTGTTTGTATTTTTTGTCAGCTTTTTTACTAGGATTCATCTCTTTATTGAATTTCAGTTTATAAGATTACAGATATCTCCTAGTATCTCATCTCTCTTTGGTGTCCTTAGTTGAACATAAAACCTTAATTTTAATGAATAATATCCATTGTTTTTTTGCCTTGAATCTTTTTTTTGAATTTGCTTAAGAAATCATTCTTCATCCCAGAATCTAAGTCTCCTTTTTTTTCTGATATTTTATAGTTTAACCTTTCACATTTGGGTCTTCTGTCCTCATGGAATTCAACTTTATATAGAGATAAGTGATATGAACCCAACTTTATTTTTCTCTAAATAGTGGGCCAATTTTTCCAATGTCATCTATAAAAAAATTGATACTTTTCCCAATGATTTATCAAAACATCAAACCAAGTTCTTATATATATGATGTAGTCTGTTCTTAAATCGGTTTCACATTTTTTCACTCTTATGGCTCTGATAGTATATTTTCCTATGTGGTAGAGTAAATCTCCAATTTTCTTCTTTTCAGAGTTTTTTAAGTTCTTTATAGGGATCCTGTAGTCACTTTTTCAAAATGCTAGAGTTTTAGCAGAAATTACATTAAATGTATAGTTTGTGGAGAATTGAATCTTAACATGTTCATGAGGGAGTGATTTAATATTATGTTTCTTTACTCATAGAGGTCTTTTATATCCTTTGAAACAGTTTTAAAATATTCTCTTTAAAAATCTTGTGCATTCTTTCATGGGTTAATTCCTAGATTGTTTTAGCATTTGTCAACAAATACTGTGAATGGTAATGTTTCTATTTTTTCTTAGTTATTGCTGGTGTAGAACACCACTATAATTACTCTTGTCTCTGGAAGCCCTCTTGACTTTTCAAAACTGGGATGTGGAGGGTCCCAAGGTTACATAATACAAAATGTGGCCACCTAATTTTTTCCCTTCGGCATGGCCAGGCATTGACAAATTTCTTTAAAGAGTGCCATGTGCAGGTGGACATGCTAAAATGTCTTGTACAATCCTCTTACCCTCTTTCTTTTAATATAGCAATATAAACCAGTGCCATAGAATGATTATGATAGGAACAATTATGTGATTAATTCTGATTGGGAAGCTGTAATGAAATGGGATTCTCAGTCTGTAAGGTTAATACTTCATTTGTTCTTTGCTTGGTCTTAATAGCAGTTGGGAAAGTTTTTAACTAGGAAAAAATTGTGAAAATGCACCTGTGGCTCATAGTATCATTGCTGAATTTTGTCTAACCACTAGAGAGTTAATTCCTAAGTTACAATGGACTATAATTCAGCAATAAAAAAGGAATGAAGTACTTTTATATATTAGAACACAGACGATTTGCAGAGAGCAAATCAGATATCCAGAGATATTTTAAAAAATCTATTTGGTTGTGTAATTAATATCCTTCCTTTTCCCCTCTACTCTGATCACTCCCTCCAAAGTATCCTGTAACAGTTAATATTGGACTATACCATATTTTCGGGAGTAGAGTTGTCTGTTAAGCCTCTTCCCCCCATCCTCCAACCCCCCGCTCTCCCTCCCTGGATGTCACTTTATAGATCTTAACTTTTTCCATTCATGGCCTGGTTGTTTGTTGGCTCTGTTCCATAATATTACTTAAAATTCCTTAATTATTTCTGAAGTATATGTTTTATTTTTCTATATACTTTGCCTCATCATTAAATTTTCTGGAGCTCTAAAGTAATTTTTGAATGGTACTTTTACATTTTACATGTACAAAGAGAAGAAACAGAAAGGCAGATTTAATTTTGAGAGATGAATCTCACTCATCTTAGAAATTAGACTTTGTATAACTAGTCGATACCTATACTTGATTTACCTTAAAAAAATTTGTTTTAAACAGATCATATCTGAAGATATTAGTGAATTACAGAAGAATCAAACTACAACTATGGCCAAAATTGCACAATATAAGAGGAAACTCATGGACCTTTCTCATAGAACCTTACAGGTAGTAACTTGGATTTTTTTTTTTTTCAACGTTTATAAAACGATTTTGTGATAGATGTGCTAAATGTGGATTTTTGCAATAGAAATAGAAAAAAAAAAAACCAAAAGGTAATAATATAATAATAGTCTGAAACCGAAAGTACCAAACTTTCTCAGTTAGACCTGGAAGTTGGAGGGAGGGGTGGTCTCAGGATTGATACTAAAATTCACATCTTATTGGGCAGGGGAGCCGCAGAAAAACACCTCATCTTGATGTAATGAAAGCATGCATCAGATCATTAATGTCTGGTCTTCCTAAAAATAGAAAAATACATTTTTGATTTTGACTGTTAGAAAATTCGTTATTTTAATTATTATAGACAAAAAAGTATAGACAGCTTCCCCATTTTTTAAAACAGCTTTATGAGATGTAATTCACATATTGTACAATTTACCTATTTAAAGTATACAGTTCAGTGGTTTTTAGTATATTGTCTTATGTAACCATCACCACTATTTTAGAACATTTTCATTACCCTAAAAAGTTACTCCATACCCATTAAGTCACTCCTCATTTCATTCTAACCCCCTCCAGCCCTTCCGTCTCTGTGGATTTGCCTATTTAGAACACTTCATATAAATGAAATCATGTATGTGGTGTTTGGTGACTGTCTTTACATGGGTTCATCTGTGCTGTAACATAGAACAGTACTTTGTTTCTTTTTTATCGTTGAATTATAGTCCATTGTAACTTTGGATTAGCTCTCTAGTGGTTAGACAAAATACAGCAGTGACACTATGAGGCATAGATGCATTTTCACAATTTTTTCCCAGTTAAGAACTTTCCCATCTGCTTCTATTAAGATTTTTATCTTTTGGTTATTGCAGTTTTGCTAGAAAATCCTCTGTTCCCTCTAGTGTCAAAATTTGTTGCTCTGAAGAGCTTCTGGGGGAACAAAAAATAATGAAGGGGATTTGCTTTACCCTAAATTTTAGAATCTATTTTAAAGTTCTTGTTTTCAAATCAGTGTGAGATTGGCATAAGTTTGGACATACAAAGATCCAAAAAACAGAATAGAGAATCTAGACATTAGATGCCAGTCTATCTTAATATTTTATATGACAAAGGTGATAATTTCAATCAAGTGGGTTTATTTCACGATGAATTTGAATTTGGAAACAGCACTGTTTTTAGCTGTAGTGTATTCATATTATACAAAATCATCCTATAATATGACAAAAAAAAAAAAACAATTAATTATGGGCAAAGAATATATAAAGGCAGTTGATATGGAAGTGCTCCCTTTACACTCCTGAGGTTGGGAGAAATTTAAACACCACAACCTATTGCTGACAGGAATGTGGGGGAAAGGGTATTCTCCTTTGTGGCTTATGAATTTAAATTGTTAGGATCTTTTGAGAAAACAACCTAGCAGCTTCTGTTAGACAGGAAACACATATTTTTAAACCCAGTAATCTCAGGGGGTCTATACCAGTAAATAAAGATAAGTATACAAAAATATTTACTACAGCATTATTGATAGTATCAAGCTAGAAACAAAATATATGCCCCTCAATAGAGGGACTGAATAAATTGTTTAGTTAATAATGCATGAAAAATTATGCAGCCATTAAAAACATCAGTGTATTTAATAAAAATGGACAATTCCGATCTCGAACTGTTAAGATTCATACTGTATTGTTAGTGTTATTATTAAGCTGATTTCTTTCAACAACTGATTGTAATAAAATTACTGTATAACAGAAGAGATGATTCTGTTGGTATTGGCGGGTCTCCTTTGTATAGGTCCTAATCAAACAGGAAATTCAGAGGAAGAGTGGATATGCCATCCAAGCTGATGAAGAGCAGTTGCGAGTTCAGCTAGATACAATTCAGTGTGAACTAAATGCACCTACTCAGTTTAAGGTAAGCACATATAAGACTATAAAGCTAGAATTTGTTTCAGGTGAATCTGCAGAAAAATGTTATTTGGTCTTTAAAAAGAGGAGTTTTGTATAATTTTTTAAAAACTATTTGTTCTCTTTAATCAAAACTTCCTTTCTAAAGTAGACTCTTATTCGTGATGTTATTTAGCTTGTTTTAATATTTCAAATAGTGTAGAAGAATTAGACACCTTTTATAGAGTAATAACCATTCTTTGTGGTAATGCATTCTTCTAAAAGCATTCTCTTTTAGAAATGGTTGCTGTTGTTAGCAGGTATAATTTGACTCAGTCTTATTTTTAGGGCCGACTGAATGAACTAATGTCCCAAATCAGGATGCAGAATCATTTTGGAGCAGTCAAATCTGAAGAAAAATATTATATAGATGCAGATCTGTTACGAGAAATCAAGCAGGTGAGTGTTGCAACTAGAGTGCACTTTTATAGAGGTGAATTCACCATTTCACATCTACTGGGATGGCTATTATCCAAAAATAAAAAAAGAGAGAAATGTTGACAAGGATCTGAAGAAAATGGAACCCTTGTGCATTGCTGGTGGCAGTGTAAAATGATGCAGCCACTGTGGAAAACAGTTCCTTAAAAAATTAACCATTGAATTACCATATGATCCAGCAGTTCTACTTCTGGGTATATACCTGAAAGAACTGAAAGCAGGAACTCAAAACAGATATTTGTACATCCACATTCATAGCAGCATTATTCACAAGAGCCAAATTGTGGAAGCAACCCTATTTTTCATAGATGGATGAGTAGGTAAACAAAGTATGGTATATACTTAAAATGGAATGTTATTCAACCTTAAAAAGGAAGGACATGTCTGATACAGACTACAAATGGATGAACCTCAAAGGCATTATGCCAACTGAAATAAGCCAGTTTAAAAGGACAAATATTTTATGATTTTACTTAGGTACCTAGAGTCACCAATTCATGAGTATAGAATACTGGTTGCCAGAGCCTGAGGGGAAGGTAGCTGGGGAGTTAGTGTTTAACAAGTACAGAATTTGAGAAGATGAAAAAGTTTTATAAATGGTAGTGATTGTTGCACAATGTGAAATGTACTCAATGCTACTGAATCGTACACTTAAAAATAGAAAAATAAATTATACACTTAAAATAATTTTAACAGTAACAGTATTTTATCATAATAAAAAATAAGTAAATTGTTCTCTCCTCCACCCCCAAGAATGAATGAATTCAGAGATAATAAAGGCACCAAAGTTTCCTGGACCCTAATACCCAATGTATAGGCAGTGGCAGTAGCAGCACCTGGGAGGTCATTAGAAATACAGAATCTTAGTCTTTACTCCAGACCTACTTAAATCTACATATCAAGATCTTGGAGTGATTTGTATGCACATTAGTTTAAGAAGTAACTGCTCTTTATCATACCTTCCAAATCTGTATGCCACGTATAAATTATAAATATGTAGAGTTACTGATCTCCTCAGCCCTCAGGGAACCCGAGTGAAAGTTGGAGTGCCCAGAATCTCTGACCATTTGTCTAAGGCTCATGTATGAATAAAGTTGGGAAGTACTACTCTAGCTTATTTTCATTAATATAAATACAGATTGGTTTAATGAGAGGTGTACAACCATTGACTGTGTCTGAAGAAAATATATTCAGATAGTAAACTTTGTAACATACTAAGTAAGACTGTTGACATGGCCCTGAGGATTTTGGATGGTTTTAAACATCATCAACAATTCTAACTTTATTATGTACTTCAGAATTGGTTCTTTCCATTTTATGCAATTAAAAATTAGTTTGAAAAAAAGTTTTTTTAAAACTAGTTTGGCTTCTAGGTTCTTTGGCTGCTTCTGCATCATTTTACACTGCCACTTGATTATATTACATTGTAGATGTCTGCAATAGAATTGAGAAAGATTCCAGCATGTTGAAATAAAGAATTATATTAAAGAGTTTATACAGTAAAATTGGGAATAATATAAATAAACACTTAAAATTATGAAAAGCAGTATATTGTTTTCAGATCGAATCATGGCTCATCACCTAGTTTATAACATGAGTAAGTTACTTACCTATATCTTAATTTCTTTACTTGTAGAGAAAATAATGGTATCCCAAAGGGTGCTCAAAAGGATTTTAAATGTTAGGTTAGTAATAGCCATGAAGCTCTTAAAATTGCTTTAACACCTGGGAACGACTCTTAAAAATGTTAGCAATTGTAGTTATCACCATTATCACTCTATACTTGGTGTACTGCAACAGATGAAAATTCTCAGTTTTCAGAATGATTATTTTGTGAGTCATCTATATTTAAGTGCCTTTTTGCATTGTTTCAGTATCATACATTTGTTTATTGAAGGTCGATAAAAGGAATCTAAAAAACATCTGCATCTTCTGTAAAATTTCTGAAGATACTCATTATATATTTGATTCTGTTGCTTTTTATAGTATATATTTTACTGTAGGTCATAAAAATTATGAGCAAAAGATATAGTAGTGATTAAATATGCATGCCCAGTATTTTTAGAGCAGTTACTGAATGCTGTATTGTTAACAAAATTTTGAAAGTCTTTTTTCCTGTGGGTAGCTTGAAGTTTAAGAGTTAATATTTTTTTATTTCCTTCTAGCATTTGAAACAACAACAGGAAGGCCTTAGCCACTTGATTAGCATCATAAAAGATGATCTAGAAGATATAAAGTTGGTAGAACATGGACTGAATGAAGCCATCCACGTCAGAGGTGGTGTCTTTAGTTGACAGTCCACAAACGTGTTAAAGATTTGTAATGTATCTTCTTACTACATCACGCCTTCCTTAAGAATGAAACTGACCACATGGGGGGATAAAACGATCCTCTCCTGGCTTGGTTTTTGAGAAGATTACTGACAAATTATTGTTCTTCAAATCTGAAATAAGTCACTTCTCAGCCCTTCAAAGATAGCCTTTGAAAGATTTGAGAAGTACATCATTACCAAAAATACCTATTATTGTACATTTTTACAACAGCATTTCTATTAAAAATAATCAGTGTTTAATGATTATTCTCCATTGAGCCTATACTTTCCATAGCAAATAAATATGAAATACCTACTTTGCACATAAACTGTTTGACTACTTGGCTGTTGGAGATTTGTACTTTAGAATATAAATGTGTATCAGTTTTTATATTTGTGAAATTCATCTGTGGGAGGAGTAAAAATCCAAGAGTATTTAATGATTAATGTGGTTTTCTTTTCATTCTATAAAGATTTGAAAATATATTTTTATATTATTTTACTTATTTGGAATTTACCGAACACATCTAAGCAATTAGGACATAACAAAATTACATTTTATCATTTTTACAACTTTTTGTTTTTTAAACCTTATTTCTAAAAATAAAAAATTCATTTTAATTACTTTTATATAATTCTGTCTGCTTCATTTGGTTCTGGGAGAATGACCATGTCTACACAAGTATTAAATTATAATCACAATTTAAGAATTTTAATCTTTCCTTGTTTTAAGTCTGATTTTTCCCTCCTGAGGAAACTATCAATGCTGATAATATTTGACGTGGGAAATAAACGTACTTCAGGTATCATCTAGGATAAAGAATTCTCTAATACGTCATTAGTATCTAAAAATACAAGAAAATCTGAATTAGACATCATAATGTGACATAGTCATTCACAACCAGATAATTTTAAACAATTGTTCTGACTGCAGATTGCATACCCAGGCTGCATTATGTTGGTTCCTCTTAGAAATGCTTTAAACTTTTCATTTCTGTGTGATGCATTGGCATGAATCTTGCCACTGTGCTAATTATGAGGACAGTGAAGAATGTGCTGCACTGTATATACAGAGGCCATCCTCAGATCCCACTAAAGAATTTCTGTCCAGCTGCAGACTAGGTAGTTGTGTAGAAGACTGGGATCTTTAAAACCGATGATTTCCAGATTGCTGCTAGAAGTTTGCAGCCACTTTTGCCAAGTTTATAGCATGCAAACTTATTACTACTACTCTAATACCACCCTCTTTCATCACACTTTCCTACTCATTAGCAATTCCGACAGTGTTGGAAGACAAATTCTTTTTCTTCTTAGACCAGAAGATAGACACTCCCATCCTCATCCTCAGAGCCGACTTTGGAGGGAGTTTCTGTCCCCCTGTGCACCCTCTTATGGTAGGAAAAGTTGCTGATCTGATGAGCATTGTTCCTCACTGAGCTACACTCCCTAGTGGATGGATCACTCTCATGCATGCCATTTTCACTTCTCTAGCTTTTCATTTTCTGTGTTCTGATATTGTTAGGCCCCTAATTTCACAAGATAAATACCCTTACATAGGGCCAAAGGTCTGCCTTTTAAAGACAGACCCAGTGGGCCGCCTCGGTTTCAATCCCGCTGGTGACTTAACCGCATGTGTAAGGCAGGCCTGTGGTCCTTAATGTAGCTGGTCAGATAACAATTTGATCTGTACTAAAGGTATGTTCCAAGCAAGCGGTAACCAGGTTCTAGGTCTGGGCGAGGAAGAGGAGACAAGGTCCACTTTGGCCTCAGCACTAAGTTGTGTTCTCCAGCACAATTTACAGAAGTTCTGTGTTTAGTCTTCAACTGGCTAACGGTTCTTGTAGATAGTCCACTCAAAATTCTGAACGTGGAGAGAGGTAAATGGTGGAGTGAAAGCACACTGAACCCCCCTAACACCTAGTTTGGATTTTATGCAGTTTTATGTAATATCTTTGAAATGGTCTTAAATCCTTTTTGAAACACTGGCGAAATATAAACAACTGTCAGTTACCAAAGCCCCATATCCAAGTCTCCATTCAACTACCACAGTACCTTGGGGAAAATGGTCCTATACTGTATAACTTCATTTTCCCTTACTTATATAGCATACATATAGAGTACTGTCTACTTTTCTGGGTTAACATGAGATTCAAGTTAGAGACTGTATGTGAAACTGTTACGTTTATAGAAATAATGTTCATATATTGAGGGGTGATACTATTTGAAGTCAAAGTCTAATCCTTCAAAGATGAGTATCTTTAAAATGCTAATTCAAGAATTCATATTTTAATATCTGGCAATTCTACTGACATCTAATAATCTTAAAGTCTTTTATTGAATTCAATCAGAAGTATACAGGTTTTCTGCAGTCATAAGGTTTATATACAAATAAGTGAAAATGATTCTATGACATCTGGTCCAACTTTCTGAATTTGCAAAGTGAACAACATATGCGGTTCTTATTTTATTAACTGACTTTGGCCAATAAGTGACAAATACATCATTCCTTTTGATGATTTCCTATGGAATCCCTGTAGTGTATTTCAAGTAATAAATGTATCAGACTACAGAGCAACAAAGATATAAGACAGAAGCACTGATTAAAATGATGAATGTCCCAAACGATGGAAGGAGCATTTTGCCAGAAGATTCAGAGGGACGGACTTTGGGACCTGGAACTGGACCTGGAACTGGACCTGGAGCTGGACCTGGAGCTGTTAATGAAAACACATAATCATTGATATGTGTCTTTTTACTACCAAGTTCATCTATCTATATAATATATTCCAAATATGTAAACAAACATTCAAGTTGAGTTAGAAACTTAAGTACTTCTAACCAAGAACAATTTTCAAATAAATATCGTTTATTACAGATTTCACGCTATATGTTCACATAGATCATTAGGCTGTGCTGATCTAAGTTTTATCTAGGATTCCACAGGCTTTTTAATATCTATGTAGACAAAATAATTTTTTGTTGTTCAAGTTCTCTAGAATTCTCAGCAATTTTCTATTTCTATTTTTTGTATATATAGGCAAGGTAAAGTTTAATCCTATCTTTTCTATTTCAAGTATATTTCATGTGCATACTCTCATAGCTACCAATATACAACTGTATATTGCTGTAGTTTTAAACACTAAGCCCTAAAAGCTCATAAAAATTTTCATTTTTTACCCCATACATAAAACACTGCTCTGGAGAAAACTGCTTCCCTTTCATCTGAACTAATGGAAAGGAACAGTGGGGTCCATCTCAGGATGATCTGATTCACACTACCCTTAACTCAGACACCGGACTTCCGCTGTTCTGCTTAGACTGTACAAGGGAGGACTGACTGGAAGTATCCAAATGAGATCACCGCTTGGATTTCATAAGTGAGGCCAAGAGAAATCACCAGTAAATTTTATAAAAGCCTTCAACTCATTTGTCGATTTACTTGTTATAATTATAAACATGCAGTTATATGTGTACAGATGGGGAAATGCTTTAGTTTGTTACTATTAGAGCAGTGGTTTTTAAGGGGGCAGTACTGCCCACTAAAAGGCAGTTAGAAGTTTGTCGGTATTCTTCGACTGTCACCACAGTGGAAGGGGTGGAAGTAGAGGGCTAGTTTTGCACCATGAAAAATCAACCCACTTCCACACAAATTTCAAATGCACTGCTAGACACATACATAATTTCACAGCTCAAACCAGAACTTAAATCAGTTTTATATATATAAAAATAAGTTTTTTGGATAGTTTCAATAAACATTAGCTTCTACCTAGGGCCCCCTGTGTAATTTTGTTATAAATTATAGTTAGGACATTATATTGACTGTTTAAATGGGTGCAGGTAGGTCTTATCTATGAATTTTGTTTCAGAATAGTATCAGAGCTTTATAAAATATGTTATAAAAAGGGAGAACTGGGTTGACAAGGTTGAGAATAACTGCTCTAAACAGTACAGTCTCTACACAGTTCAAAATAACTGCTCAAGAAACAGTCCAGTTCTCCCACCATATACACACACACGAATATTTGGATATGACATTATATTCTGTTAGGATGCCTTACATTTTTGAAACTTTGTTCCTTTTATTAAGAAAAAATAAAATTTATTTTCTACATTGCAGATCAAACATTTTATAGACTAAGGAAATGAGATTTCTTACTAGGATTGTTGATTTCTTCTTGACTTTCATATTCTAAAATATAAACAGATTTGGGGTTAATTGCATTATACACTTATTTATACAGAAGAGAAAAATCTGATTAAATGATAAGCAAACCTAGTTATTTCTGGGAGTGGGCCTGAGGAGCAGGTTATTAGGTTTAGAGGTATGTGTGCGGTTACAGGGAGGGTTCAATTTTTACTCATTTGCACTCTTTGAATTTTTTTTTTTTTACCATGTATGTTTCCACTGAAAGAATGATTAAAATTTTAATTACAAAAGTACTTTCTTTAGATTTAGATTCCTAAGTACAACATTAATACCTACCATTTGAGTGCTTACTATGTGTCACACATTGTGCAAATGCTTTATGTATATGTCACCTTTATTTCTTACAGTCCTAGAAGGTAGGTATAGTTATCCATATTATACATATGTTCCTCAAAATGTATCAGAGGTAGTCAGTGGTAGCAATGTCTGATTTCAAAGTCTCTGCTCCTGATTATATTATGTTACACTCCTCCAAGTTGTGTGCCTAGCATTGAAATATTAATATTGCCATATTTTGATGATATTGAAGGCAAATGCCAATTATAGGAGCCCAGGATAGAGGTGTGTCTTTTAAAACTAAATCTAGATGAAAGACAAGTCTCATGTGACAGAAAGTGAACAAAACTTGAAAAGTCTGAGTCCTGGTTCTCCTTCTAGCACTTTACAGGTTCCTTAACCTTGCTATGTTCTATTCCATGTCCTCATCTCTGAAGTGGCAAAAACAGTATCTTGGATTAAATGAGATCCAGCATAAATGTTTTGACCAAAACAACAACAACAACAACAACAACAACAACAACAACAACGTGCACTTATACATAGCTTTCTAGGAGAGGCACAATACAAAAGAGTCCCAGCAAAACCTAGTAGCCTATTTGTTGGAGGACATGGGGACTGCAGTGAGAAGCGTGGAACGGTTGGTCCTATGCTGTACCACACCTCTTTGACAATGCTATTCCTGTGACTACAGATCCTCTCACCAGCCAGCTCACCTGGGGAAGCCTCCTGCCCCATTCTGGAATAGACAGGTACAGCTGGAAGCCAACCGTTCCAGTTTCAGATCAAGCACCTTTTTCTCTGCTTGGCCCTGAGAGCCATAAGAGCAGACTGGGATGTCAGAAGCTATATAGCCAAGGTGTCCTCCCCAGAGCCCTGAACACTGGGCTAACTGAATGATTGTGGTAAAGGACTCAGAACTCCATGGTGCCTCCACTCCCAATAAAAAAAAATGTATTATTAGGTTTTTCATCTGGTTGTATCACTTTTATTCCTAAATGAGAAAAGAGTTCCAGATGATTAAATAAAGACAGCTACCATATACTGCTATTTTAAACTATTCATGTCCCGGTATTTTATCTTAAGAGGTTAATCAGTCTTGCAAGACAGACGTTTTCTTCATTTTACAGATGTGGAAGGAGAGGTCCAGAAAAGTGAAGTAACTTATGCAAAGTCACCCAGAGGAAAATGGCAGAGGAGATACTTTAGGAAGCTGAGTCTCGCTATCTTCAATCCCCAAACCCTGCTCAGCAGCTGCCTTTCAGACAACCAGTACGCTTACTAAAGTGCCTCTGACAGTACCATGCAAACTCGGGTCCAGAGAGCTAAAGCTGTACGCACACAGGGTGTCGCATAGGTGTCATCAGAGGTTCACTTCCAGGTTGTGGCCAAATCCAACAGTGCAAACCTGGTGAACATATAGAGCTGCTGAGCCCTCTCTCGGGGCCTATATCTGGGCTTTAGGTAGTTAGCTATGAACATGTGTTTCTGTGCACAGACGGAATTTCCACAGATGTAACGAAGGACAAAGCTGAGCACTGTATGCATGGATATAATTTAGTGAATGCCAAAAATCTAATTTCTTTAACGGATCATCATTCTATGATGACAAACCTATCAAAAATTATTTTCAAAACACTACATGAACTCAGGAGAAGGAGTTTAAGCACTGGATACGGGCTTGCACCCTGAAGTTTTATGTTTTTACAGTCTTTACAGATATTCCCATAAGGTAAACATGACAAGGGTTAGCCACGTTTGATGACAATTCTGAGGCATAGAGAAGTGTTACTACTGTCCACAGCTCTCTGGTAAAATATTATGTCCACTTTTAAAAAAAATTGTTTCAGGAAAAAATTAAGTTTGAGAGTCTTTCTTAGTTTTTCCTGCCCTTCTAAGGAACTTAGCAGGAGTCACTGTTCAGTTTCCCTGGCCATAGAACTTAAGGCCCCTCAATGGCCTTGCCTTCCAATTAAAGCTTCACACTTTATAAATACCCATATCACAGCTATATCTTAAAGGTGGGGTCAATCTGCCATGGTGAATACACTGGAAAAACACATGATGAACCGCAAATCTTAAGGAAGGAGTACTTGGTCATATGTTAAGAGACCTGGGTCCTTCACTTACTTATGTGATTTTGTGCAAAGTACTTGGGCTCCTCTGTATACTTAATGGTGACAGTTATGTCTATGTTCCCCACCCCAAATTGGCAGCTTCCTCTCTGGCATGCCTACCACTGCTTACCAGATAATGGAAAAAGATTCTGGAATTTTCATTCCTAAAAGAGAAGTTTTCAGTGACTTGCAGTTTGCTCCAGTGAGTACAATTTCCAAACTCTTGTCTGATGAGCTCAAGTGACACAAGCGCCAAAGGTCCCTCTACCGTTGTAGTTTCTGGCTTTTCGTTTAAAAGTTGCACAGTGATGGTTACATGAACCATCACTGCAAAAACACACCAAGCTTAGAGGAGCCTTCTGACATGGCACCTTCAAATCAGTCTCTACGTAGAGCCAGGAGAATACTACGTTTTGTTACCTTGAGACCCTAGAGGCTGAGATGGTAGCCAAAGCTAACGGCTTTCATATGAAGTTAAAGTTTCTATTGAGTAACTTTAGCTACAGAACCTGGCAGGTGCTGGACTGCACGTACCCAGGTCCCAGCAGCTCTGCCTACAGCCATGTCCCCGCAGAGCCAACTTTCTTGCTCCAGGAACAAAAGCAAAGGCACTCCTCTACTCTCTTTCCCAGCTAAAGCTTGTAGAACGATTGGCAGGCAGCTGTAAGGGAAATATTAATGAATAACCAGTCTCATGACAATATTCTCTTTAATGCCAGGGGAGTCCTTCTCTCCTCATATTTGAGCCCAGAGAGTGAAAAGAAAGCTGTCTTACCAGGTATCTGGATCGGTTCATGGCTCTTCGTAACTATAGACAAATGAGTACTGGTCAGTGTTAATGCTCCCTTTGTCTACACTCCCCAACCCCCCACCCCCACGCCAATCTCTGACGCTTAAAAAAGGGAAAGAAAACAGTAACAACAAAAACACATTTCAATGGTTCTTCATTCTCTACCTGGACAAAACCCAACTCCTTAGCCAGCCTATGTGTCTCCAACCTTATCTTCATAAGGCAGTCCTAGCCCATCGGCTTTTAAATAGAACAGTACTGGGTGTGAGACTCTGCCTGGTTTAGTTCTATTGTCATTATAGTTATAAGCTTTATGATTAGGCAGCCTTCTTAACCCCTCTGACCTTCAATTCCTTATTTATGCCAAAGCCATCTTTACTTTGCAGGTCTGTAGTAAATGATGATTAAAAGAGCTACATCATGAAAGTGCTTAGTATACTGCATAAAAGATGATAAGCAGTCAATAAATGGAGTCCCTCTGTTCTGGCTTAACTCATTCCTCAAACTCCACGTCCGGTAATATCCTTAGTCCTAGGACTCCTCATGCCTCCTCCTAACCTTGTAGCTGGTCTCAGAGAGTAAAGTAAAAAGATCACTTACCAGGTAAGACAGTGGACTCCTGGCTTTTCATTCCTAAAGATGAGAATAGGAACTATTTAGTAAAAAATGCAATTGGCTTAAAAATTAATTTAATCTTATATTTATATGGCTATTTAGAGTGGAAAGCTCTAAAAATGTTGAGAAATGGCAGAGGACAGAGTAACGGAGAAAACTCTATAATTTAAGGTATGCAGCATAATGATTTAACTTATGTATATTGTGTAATGATTACCACAATAAGTTTAGTTAGCATCCATCATCTCATATAGATACAAAAAAACAGAAAGAAAACAATGTTTTCTTCCTTGTGATGAGACCTTTTAGGATCTACTCTCTCAGCAACTTTCAAACACACCATACAGCAGTGGTGACCATAGCCATCATGCTGTTCATTCCACCCCAGGACTTATTTATCTTATAACGGGAGGTTTGAACCTTTTTACACTTTTTAATGAAGTTGATATTATTCTCTATATGATGTTTTATTTCGTATTTTTATTTGCCACTGTATGTAAGTACTTTCTCATATCTTTATTTTTCAAAAATGATTTTTTAGTGTTTCATAATATGAATATAATTTGTTTAAATAATATCTAACTGTTGGACACTAAGGTTCTTATAAATTTTTGGCTACCTTAACACTGTGTAAACATTTTTGTACACATTTTATACATAAAGCTTTATGATTATTTCCTTAGAACGAATATTTAAAAATGTTATAACTGGGTTAAAAGGTATGAACATTTTCAAAGCTAGTAATACATACTATCAAAGTGTCTTCCAGAAAAGTTCCAATTTATGATCTTACCAGTAATTTATGAGTGTTCCTGTCCCAGTACCCTTGAGGACATTTGAATAATGTCATTTTTAAACAACAAAAACAAAGACAAAAACTTGGGAATGAGCTGTACTTAGGAGCATATTCGATAATCTAAAAGATATGGCTAAAGGCATTTGTTAGATTGCTGGAAGCAGAATATACAAAATCATTTTAATTTAGGAAAAACTAATGCCATTTTTAACTGCCCCTTCCCAACACCCTATGTCACAAGAGTTTGTGGAATAATCAATTACACTCTCCTCTATCTATGCAACAACTAGCATAAAGCAGAAAATAATATGTTCTCTAGAGCTGGTTCCTCATGTCATGTCTCTTAACTGCTCCACTGGGATGACCTAAGGATTGTCAGGAGACACAGGGAGCTGCTGTGTCATCTTTATGAAGAAGTCCATCTGAGGGTCTCTGATACATGAAACTAGTAAGCTAAAGTGAGTTGCTATTCCTCTTCCCAACATTCCTTACTAAGCCATGCCCACCTGCTCCCACCCCTAAGGGAGCTGTCTTGCAAATGTAAGCGCCCAGAGTTTATGAAAATGTCTTACCAGGGTCTTCGAGCTTCTGGTTTTTATCACCTATGTTATAAAAAGAAACTTTCTAGTTTTAATGATATAACAAAATCACTGAGAGTTACTATAGTTACAGCAAAATTATTTTCAGGTAATATGGCCATAAAGAACCACTTGGTATGTCCAGGAAATTAATACTGCTAAATTTAAGTGTCAGCCAGAATCTAAATACGCTTTGGCTAATTGGGCTGGAACCTTCCTCTGACCCTTCTACGAAAAAAAAACAATCACGTGTAGCAAGTCTCCCGGAGATTTCAATGAACTAGAAAAATGTGTGTTGTGAAAAGTTACTTGGGGTCCCTGAAAAGTGACCAGTTGAACTTGTGCGCAATGGACCAACAAGAGGTGTTGCTAAGCAAGTCCTCAGGGGCATGAAATGCTTCACATCAGGACAGGAAATATCTTCCAAACATCAAATAAAATGCATACTTAATGCAAGGCCAGATACCTTTCTCTCTTCAATAACAAAAACCTTACTGTAGCTACATGGGCCAAATATATAATAAGGAACTCAAATGCAAACAAGTGATTTAGGCCATATCACAATAAGTGGAAACTTAGGGAGAGAAAAAAGCATGTAATCACCTAGATATTTTAGTCAAATGGTACCAAACATTACCATATCTGAAAGGTATAAACGACTGACTTTTCTGTTTTCATCTGAATGGTGTCACACAGGCTAATCTCAATGACAATAGAGCCCTCAGACCTGTCAAGAACAACTAGCTCTTCAGGTCCCACCAACCTCATTCCCCAGAATGTTCAGATTTCCAGAGAGTGCATCCTCTCATGTACAGAGAGGCTAATTTCCCCAGAACAGATTCTTTCTTTTTTCCCCTCCATTGTATCTGCCCAGTTACTCCTTCATATCAGCAAAATACTCTTTCTTCAGCTATGAATTGAATTTGCTAAACAAAAACTACTAAACAGCTATGAAAGATTATTTTTTTAAATGAGAGCATACTTACCAGGGCTGGAGATGGGTTGAAAATATTCTGAAATACAAACATGTTTTCATTACATAGCACTATGCTCAGATGTCAACGTCATATTCAGTCTATTTTCAGACATTTGTTAATGATAAAAATTTGAGTTGGCTTACATTTAAGGTACGTATGAAACATGGTAAGAAGAGAAATATAAAAGCTTCAATCTCGAAAACAAATGGATGTGAATTCATTTCGATTACATGAAGAATAATTCATAGAAAAACTAGCTGGGAAGACAGCTAGAAATGGTCCCTTACTTTCAAACTTTTTAATAAGGAAATCTTCCAAACAATCCACCCAGAGCATGCATCAGCCCAAGGTATTTTCTGGCAACTCTGGTTCAACCTGTTGAGCCTAAATGATAATGCTATTCCTAAATACTCTTAGAATTCCTATTTACCTACCCAAATCTTTTCCATGATCCTCTAAGGATTATCTGTTGTCACAGCCACCCACTACCCCCCACCCCACCCCACCTCTGCCCCAGGAAGCTGAGACCACATAACCATGCAGCCACCCCGCCCCCACCAGGCTCCCACCTTGAGCTATATTCACTCTATTCCTTCATTAATCTCCCAAATGTTATTTCCTAAGATATCAAAACATACGGTTTTAAGTCTAGCTCTGTGCATAGGAATCATGTCAGGGCATTCAGGAGTCCTTAGGTTAGGGAGATTGCAGCACGGGTCTCTACGTGCCCAAGGCAAATGCAGTGTTTGAGAGAAGGGACACAGGCAAGGCTGAGGTGAGGGTGAGAGGAATGTAACCAGCAGTAGGTCCTGGGCCTTTTATCTGAAAAGGTAGTAGCTTTAGCACAACTCAGCCTTGAGGAAATGATGGCTGACAGTATGACAGTATGGTGGGGTAGTTCTGACCTATGCCTATGAGAAATAACACTGATAAAATTCCCATTCCAGAGATAATACTTTAAAGTATATCTTACCCATGTTCTCAACACAATTTGCAGTTTTTAGTCCTGAAACATAAAGATAGAGGTTTATTAGTTAGACACAATCTACCCTAGTAAAGATTTCAAACTTGTCTGTAGCTATTGGTAATTAATCTATCAGCTCTTAGCCTATCAGACCCATAATTTGGTGGGATGCAAACTGCAGAACAATTACATTTTTATATTCATATCACAGCTACCAAATAACAGTATGATCTTTGATAAAACATCTAACATTTCTGGAATTCAGCTTCCTTATCTGCATTTTCTACTGTACCTCAAATGACCTCAAAAGGCCCATCTAAAGCTAACACTTAATGATTCTATTCTATGATTAGTCTGTGAAAGTTAGGAGAAAATTTACCTGTCTATTCAATTAATCCTCTCTCCAGATACTAAATGTCCTCGAAAGCAAGCCTATCCCCTTACTATCACAATTATTCATTAGAGAAAAAGAATCTCAATCAGAACTTCAAGATCCTCAGATATATGAAGAAAGATCCTTCACATTCATACAGAAAAACAGAGTTGATCTGCCCTAGAACACTGATCTATATGTAAGGAGATCCACCATTTTCGAACAATTGGAATATGGCACCTAAAAGTATACCTTTATAAGGTTCTAGGCCCTTCTTGCTAGTGATGCCCTAGAAAAAATCATCAGTGGTGCGGTGATTCCCCTGAGAATTGATATAAAAGGGAACTGAATAGCCTGTCCAACTGTGGTTAAGGCAAGAAGGTCAGTGAGAGGGTTTAGATTTGGTGCCAGGATGAACCATGAGGGTTTCCGCAAATGCCACACAAAGGTCTAAATGTTTTATGGTCTCTTCTCCATGCCTGGCTAACTCACTGATCTAATCAAGTTCAGTTATCTGAGGATGAATCTCTCCATCCAAGATGGGGGAGTCCCTGAGAGGCCTGGTTTCACTATGAGAGATGTTCTCTTCTAAAATCTGCTCTCAAATCCTGCTTCATTTGTGGAGTTTGAACCAAGAATCCAGGTGACTTGGTCCAGTTTCTACTGATCCAAGAAATGGTACAGATCTGTCAGAATCTGGATGGTTAACCTCAGGTGTTTGGCTAGACTGGAAATTAAAATAAAAACAAAAACAAAAAACAGTTCTAGAGACAATTATAAAATGTCTCAGCAGGAGATGAGTGGATGCAAGCCTTACCCAGAGGGCTTAGTTGAGGGGAAGGTGAAGGTGAGGGGAGTTATGGATGAGAAAGCTACAGATACAATAGATTCAGCCTGGGGACTAGGCACTGGGGTGTTTTAAAAGACTTTATCTTTTGTCTGTAGCACAAATTAGAACATGTTTCTCAAAGTGTAGTCTTCCAGTCACATACTTCAGAATCACCTGGGTGCTTAGTAAAATTGCAAATTCTAGGACTCTAGCCAGGGCTATTGATACAGAATTTCTAGGAGTGATGCCTTGCAATCCCCGTTTTAAATAAGCACTCCAAGTGACTTTAATGCACAAAATTTTGAGAGCCCCTTCGGTAGTAGGCTCGTGTATATTATTGTAATTTTTGATAACTAATGTTTTAAAAAGTTAGAGGCATACAGCATGATGTTTTAATTTACATATATTGTGAAATGATTATTACAGAGTCAGCTAACACTTGAGGTCGGGTATCTTTTAACGTTTAACACAGATCCATTTAGTCAAGACTTCATTTCTCCGCCCTATTTGACTCTGGATTTAATTTTCCATTAGCATTGTAAGCAGCAGGAAAGTAATCAAACTATTTTGGGTTTCTAAAGAAGTAGCAGGGTTAAAAATGGTAAGAGACTGATTCAGAAATAAATGAGAGGAAGCACATATATAATACACAGGGAATAAAAAAGTGAATAGAACCACATATTTGACAGATGTAAAAAGACACAAGATTACTATGATTACCTTAATGCCAATAAATTTGAAATATAAGACAAATGGACAAATTTCTAGAAAAATATAACTTATCAAAAATAACTCAAGAATAAATAGAAAACTCAAATGGTAATATAAGTATTAGTTTAATTTTTTTTCCACACAGAAAATACCAGGATAATTTGGTTTTTACATAGCGATAAAGCAAAGGTAGCTGCACAGACGGAGATCTTCAAAGGTTCCCCCAAATATTCAGCAAGTGCTGATTAGCTTATATGTGTGAGGAAACTCCCTAAGGCCAGGAAAGAACCCACAGGATCAAGACACAATGGAAAACCTGATAAGCTGTCATTTTAGTAGAGAACTCTACAGTAAGAAGCCATAGAAGCCATCCAGACAATAATAAATAAAGCTCTCCCAAGAGTTCCCTATCTCCTCCATATCCCAAGAAATTACAGATGTCTGTGACCAAACTTATAGCTGACTGGACTTTCTGGCAACAAGACTACAGCAGTATTTCTTGGCCACTGGGCTTCTGGACACAAGGACTTCCCCCCTTTGCAGAGCTATCGCTAGCCTGTTACTAGGCCTAACTGAGACAAACCATCTCACTGAAATAAAAGTCATAATTCTCCAACCCAATATCTTATCGGGCAATGAGTTCTCTCTAAACTACATTCACATAGGTAGGACAAACTCCCAAAAGATCCACTGTTACATAAAAATTTTACCTCCAATTAAGGGCCAAACCTAGCTCCTAAACCCTTAGCCACTTTCACACTTACATTTATTAGACCTGCAGTTTCCAGCAGTTTCCAAACAATGGCAAGGTGTACCTGTATGCTACAGAACACTTACAGGGGTGTAAAGAGATGTTTTAACATTTCAAGACAAACACAGCCCTAGTTGATTCTGTCAGATACCACATGAATTACTAGCCTGAGGTAGAATGTAGTTTCCAAGTTATATCATGTTACATTCTGTTCCATCACATCATATATTTGCAAAGCTGGATTTTCAGGAATTGTTTCAATGAAAAGCACATGTTTGTGGAACAGGAAGTAAGGTGGTGTCTAATCTAATTCCAAGGTTTGAGAAGCTGTGCAGCGTCCAGTAGGCACATATGACCCATTAACAAATTATTGTGCTTAAGAACGAAATAATTGTTTGTTTGTTTTTGTTTTTAGTGTAGGGAGCATTAAAAATCTTGCTCCCTGGCATAAGTGGGCAGTTTGGCTCAAATAAACTCAAAAAAATTTTTTTAAATTTTTATGTCTATTATTTTTTCAAATGAGTATTAAGATGTCAGGACATAAACACTTACTGAGTTGTCTGACTACTTAATAAGTGAATCTTTGGGGGTATTTCTTTTAGCCTAGGAACACTGTGAAAAAAAATTATGACAACACTAAGGAAAAGACAAGCCTGAGTACCTCTCTACACCAGACATTACAAACGCCCTACCTACAACTTTATCCAAACTTCTGGATCAATGGGGGCCTCACCTACAAGACCTCATACCTGAAAAGACAGCACAGTTCTCTAATAAAACAGCCTGCCCTGAGGCTGGGCACATCCAATGGAATTCTGCATCCACCCATTGTAATGATGGGTGTCCAGTAGGTGATCCATTGCCTTGGATCCTATGCATGAGGAGCTGACCTTCAAATGATGATTCTGGCAAGGAGCAAACCGCCTTGGAACTGACTGAAACCTACCTTTATGTACACTCATGCACCAACACTAATGCCTGAATTGTATGATCAGGCCCCTGAAACACCCAGAACTGGATTACTAAGCCCACATGCAGTCCCTCTTTATGGAAAAAAAAAACAGTAAAAACAACTCATGAACTCTGTCTTATGTTACTTAAGTACATACTCATATGAAATGACTGCATCTGAAGAAAAGCATTTTTTAGAGAACGACGAAGCAAATCAAGCCTGTGTGACCATTGTCTCTACTACAGCTTCTGGCTCTATAAGCAAATCTACCACAGTAAGGAAATTATTTATAAAGGACTAGGACTTCAAATGAAAAATTCTACCAGCTTCTCCAATAAAGATCCCTACAGGGCTGTCCTCAGCTATTTTTAAGTTGCCCACAACCATGCCTTTACTGAATTCTCAAGCACCAAGGTTGGAGAATGAGGGGAATTGGAAGAAGAGTATATTCCTCGTCTTTTTGCAGGAGTGTGCTTGTTCTGACCTTAGTGGTAGGTGGATATTCACATATCTTTTACTTCAGTAAATATGTATTTCATATGACCTCAGCACACATACTGATCATATTGATCAGATCAAAAACACCAGTATATGAAACTGGATGCTGACTTTGCTCCCAGTAGTTCTGTGACTACTCTACTCTGCCTGCAGAGGGTCACATCATTACAGAAGAATAGACAATTTGGACCATTCCCAAGAGGAGGTAATGGGTTGGAATTACGGTAAGTGGCTTCTGACATGGCTCCCAATGCCCCTGCTTCCTGATATTCATGCCTTTGTCTGAGCCTCTCCTCTTGGGTGTGGACTGAACCTACTGACTTACTTCTAGCAAACACAATAAAGCAAGTGATGAGCTCTCACTTCCATAATTAGGCTGCAAAAGACTGTGACTTGCTGGCACCCCCTCTTGCTCTCTCGCTCACTCTGATGATGCCATGTTGTGAGATAGGCACGGAATGGAGAGGCCTCTGAGGCTAGGAACGAGGGAGGCCTCTGGCCCACAGCTCGTAAGGAACCGAGGCCTTAGTCAACGATGCACCCAGAACTGTATCCCACCAACACCAGGTGAGTGAGCTGGGAAGCAGATCTTCTCCAGTCAAGTCTTATGATGACTGTAGCCTTGTAAGAGACCTAGAGCCAAAAGACCCATCTATACTGTGCCCAGGTTCCTGACCCACAGCAACTGTGAGAAAATAAATATGGTTTTAAGCCTCTAAATTTTGGAGTAATTTCTTAAGTAGTTATGAATAACCAATACAGATGTGAGGGTCAGTTTTACATGTCAACTTGTCTGGGGTACAGTCCCCAGTTATTCAATCAAACACTACTAGTTGTTGCCTTGAAAGTGTGTGTAGATGTGATTAGCATTTATAATCAGTTAACGTGAAGTGAGGGGCCTGTTTCGATCAGTTGAAAGGCCTTAGATTAACCTCTGAGGCTTCTCAGAAGAAGAAACTGTCCATGGACAGCAGCTTCTTGACAGCCTGACCCATGGATTTCAGACTTGCCTTGTCAGCCCCACAATCACGTAAGCCAATTCCTTGCAGTTAAAGATAATATATATTTCCTACTGATGCTGCTTCTCTAGTTTAACCCTGACTGATAGAATAGGGATGAAGAAGTCTGACTGGTGACAGTCTGGAGAAGGCTGGTGGTAAAGAGCTCGCCCCTCTCCCTTCTCCTATAAATATGAATAAACAGTCTGAACAGCCTTCCAAATTATTCTAGGCACTGATTCATATGTGAATTTCTCCTGGTGATGGATATATCACATTCTGTCTGGCCTGTTCACACAGGATCTTCCTGATACGCCAACCTCAGACAACAGCGCAGAAACCTGAGTACTCCCAAAGAAGGCTAAGAAGGCTGTCAATCAGAACCAATGAAGGTACTTACAGTTAATGGGCTATTGAGGGCTAGGGGCAGATTTAAAAATAATATACCTAGAGAGTCCTATAGGTTCATCTTCCTTCTCCCTTTTGATGGCTTGGTAAAGAGCTGGCTCAACAGGTCTGAGTAAGCTCAACAAAGCAGACTAATACCAGCCACTGGAGTTCAGGGGCTTCTCCTTTCTAACAAGGTCACTTTTCCAGCCAGGGAAACTTGATATTCTCTGACTCCATGACTCTATTAATATGTAGGACTTATCTACACATATATAGCCTGCCCCCTCCCTACAGAAACGCTGTCCAACATGCTAGATGATCTATGCTCAGGCTGTTCAGTAAAATAATGAGAGTTCAGGGAATGCTGTGTGCTCTATTATTTCTCTGCTTATAAATTTTCTTCCAATAAACCTTGTATCTCACTGTAAGGTCCAGGGAATCCAAAAGCTATGGCTTCCTGTTAGGTATTAATAATTCGTCTACAGTCCTCTCCAAACCAGGTGAAATTTTCCAATGGGGTCATGTTTAGCTATTAAGCGATGTAGCCTAATTATACTTTTATCAACTTTTCTAGGAAAACAGTAAAGAAGAAGGTTAACTTACAGTAGTTTTCCCATGAGGAAGGAAAAAGGATTTTGTCACCATTTACTCACAGTTCACTCTCATAATCTTGGATTAGTATCTTTGCCCACTAGGAACTGTATTGTCTAATAGGACACTAGTATTCTCTCCACTTCCTAGCCAACTGAACTATTTTTTTAACTAGTTTTTGTAAGGCTCATAATACATTTTTATCTTGGAAATCATAAGCGAGTTCAAAACAATAACACGACTGTTAACACTAAATTTAGTACAGTATAACATGTTGTCTCTTTTAGGAATATTGTCTTTTTTCATGAAGAATTATAGTCAGTCACAAGGGAACAAGGTTCCAATTATATCCTCTTGGTTTGTGCTTTTTAAGTTCTTGTTATTACCCTTTATAGTGTTTCAAAAAGCTTAGCTTTAATAATCACTTTAGAGTTCTTGACCCTAGGTTCCCACTAGTTGTCTCTAGGTGGCAGCAGAGGACACTGGTTAGACTCCAGTCTGGAGTTAAACCAAGTGTAGTGGCCTGATTTTGGAGCTCTCCAAATAAATAGCACACCTGAGCCTCCACAAAGGTCTTGTGGCTGGTTTGAACATTAACCTCCAGTGGAGCCTCTGCCTGACGTTGTGGGTAGGCCCACAGAGGTGTGCCCAATCCCTTTCCCGTTCCTCCTTCCTCATGCGGGGCTCATAATGCACTTGCCCATACAGGTCTGAGCTTTGGCTCATTCTCCATCAACCCAATGGCTCCACCCCTTTTGTTCATCATAATCCCACTCACGAACATGGACTCTGGGCTTTGTTGCCCACCTCTGTCAACCAACCAAATCCCAGTGATCAATTTGACCTGCAGCTACTGCAGCCAGGGTTTCTGTATAACCAATACCTCCACAGAAGGCATTTGGCTGAATGCATTAGGAACAACAAAAGTGGTATCATTCTGTCAGCCTAGCTGCAACTGGGTTTCCAGCAGTGATGTGCTGGTAAAGTACAACAGGTTACGGGGTGCGGGATGGGGGTCTGGATATGTAGTGTTTGTTGATTTCCATGGCATAACTCATTCATGGCCAATTTCAAGCTACTTTGATGTATGAGGAATTGGGAAGAGATGCATGTCCACAGTCACCTCCCATAAGCTGGTATGAGCTGGCTCCAACTGGTTTGGGTTTTGGCCAGGTCCAATATATGGCTGGTGAGGGGGAAGCGCACTTTTCTCTCAACACAAATGTACTCACTCCAGTCTTCATCTGTCCCTCTAGGTGAACAGTTAGTGTCACTCGCTTGCAACTCAGAGCCAGCACTAGGATGCGGCAAATAAGGTGCCTAGAGTACAAACCTGACGGAGGCACTCACTCTTAGGATCGTGCAAATGAAGATGCTGCAAGTATATGACCCTGACACTGAGGGCTCCCTTAAATTCTGTGTCCTAGGCACCTCAATAGCTACACAGCTTCCACCATTAAATCCTAAGTGGATCAGCACTCCCATGCCTGAGGTCTCATCAGCACTTCACCACCTGTTCTTTTTTATCTCACAGTGCCTTGGTCACATCGAATCAAGGTCTGAAGGTCTATCCCACTTCTAAGGCCCTACTGCAATACTCACTCTACTTGACCAGCAATCATGGTTTTGGGTTCGGCTAGACAATCACACTCATAAGACCCCAAAAGGCCCTCACCTCACCAGCTTACTCAGTTTTGCAGAAGAACACAAGGCAGAGAACACAGCATACTGTTTAGCAATAGGACAGCATCAGGTATATCCCTTCAATTCAAGTCCTTGCAGCAGTCCAGGGCTGTCCTTTAGCCCCGCAAATGATGATTCACTTACAAGGAAACATGATTACACAGGTGGGTGCAGGAACCATCCTAGCTTAGTAGCCTCATGTCATATATCTATTTGTTGCAGAAGACAATATTTCTTATACCAGTCAATGAGTGTACTTCCAGGAATCAGCAAGAACATCTGGGTGTAGCACAACACATTCAGGAGTACCCAGTGCTATGGCTTCTTCCGAGTATAGTTCATTCACAAGCCTCCCAGCTCAGATTCACATCACCAATCAAGGGCATGTTTACCATTAAGCAGTTTAGCATTAGGCATTCCACCTTTGGTAGATTTCTGAGAAACGGTGCTAGAATAAGATCACCAGGAGGCCATTTTCATGAGAGGAAGGAGAAAAGGTTTTGTTAAGCCTTTACTCATATACACCGAGGCACAACATCATAAAATTTCAGAATGTTGGGAATAAAGAAAACATCTTAAAACCTCCCAGAGGGGGAAAAACATGTCTCATTCAAAGTTTTAGTAATTAGAATCGCTTTACCCTTTTCACAGCAGCACCAGAAACTAGAAGACTGTGGAGGAACATCTCCAAAATCCCAAAGAAAATAATTTCTGAAATAGAAATACAAATCTACACAAACTATTATTCGAGCCTAAAGGTAGATTTTTCAGACATGCAAAGTCTTAGAAAATTTGCCTCAATGTCCCTTTCTTTAGAAAACTTCCAGAGAACTCTCACCCCACCAAACAAAGGAGGAATTCAAGGAAGAGGAGGGGATCCAACACATAGAGGAGTCCTCACAGGGAGACGTCCTACACGTCTCAGAAGAGTAGTGAAAAGGGGTTTTAGGACACTCAACAGGCCCAAAGAGCATATCACAGAAGCTCTAAAGAGGTGAGGGTAAATTACTGATGGCATATAAAAAAGTAAGGAAACAAAAAAATTATACAACTAATAATCCTAGGGTAAAAGAGGTATTTAAAAAAGCCCCAGTCTTTACTATACTGGGAGAATGGAAAGGAGGAAATGCACGAATACTGAGGAGGGTGGTGGTTATCACATACTTTTACTTCACTGACCTAACAGCTATTTCTAATTCCTTTCTCCCTTGCCTCCCTATACCACAGAGGCTGGAAATGCTAACTACCCCCTTCCCAAGCTCTTCTTACATGTAGTCACGAATGACAAAGTGGCCACCCCAGTCAATGGTGTGCATCAGAAATCTACAAAGAGTCCTGGCAAAACTTTTACTTTCCTGATTAAACAGGCAGATTTGGCTGCCATTTCTTCTCCCCTTCTTTTTATCTTAAACATAGGTTTATGCCTACAGCTGCGACAATGACACTGAAAACACGAATCAACAAACCAACATACCAAGACTGGCAGAACAGAAAGAGCCTGGGTTACTGATATCATTGAGCCACTGTACCAACCTGGACAGCCTACCTCTAGACTTCTTGTGAAATGAGAGTGATCAGGCGGGTTTTCTGTTACAGCTGAATGCAATAAAGAATTCCTAATGCATGAGAGCTACTCATTCTCTAGAATGCGAAGTCATTAAATAATATCTAAAAGTTAAAAATCAAAAAATGACAAGCTGAAGCATGTGATTTATTTAGAAACATGGTATTAAGCACCTGAAAAAAAAAAAAGCTAAAAAAAATAAAATGGATGCCACTAAGGAGTGGCACCTGGTGATGGAGAGGGGTAGAAAGTGGAGGTTGCTATTTTTCAAGGTTAGCCTTATAGTAGTATTTTGGGCCAGGTATTACTTTGTTGTGGGGGGCTGTCCTATGCAGTGCTTAGCAGTGTCCTTGGCTTCTACCCATTAGATGCTAATGGTAACTAGGGATAGCTGTGACAACTAAAAATGTTTCCAGCCATTTCCAAATGACCCTGAGGGACAAAACTGCCCCTGGTTGAGAACCATTGCCTTATAATACTATTTTAACTTTCAATAATACTATAAATGTATCAATTTGATAAAATTAAATTTTGGAAAAAGAAATTAACAGCATGAAAGGAGCTAGACTAGAGACCACCAATGCCAAACACCTCTTGATGTCCTTCCTGACCTTTCCCTGGTCCTAAAAATCCCACTCCTTCCCTCCCAGACAAGCACAGACAGAGCAGGGACACTTACCTCCTAGAAATGCACACTCGTAATGGCTGCAGGTCTTGTTTGTGCTTTGAAGGATAAGGTTATTGCTAGTCCCATCCTGTGACACATGAAAAACCTCATTCAGAGGTATTAAAATAACTCTTTCACTTCCACTTTCTTTAACAAAAAATTTTTCAACGGCAACTCCAAAGCACGTGTGGATGGTTAACAGAACGTGTTGGTCACTTGCAGCTTGAGGTTTGGCTGAATATGCCAAGGTGAAATGGCCAAATCTGGCTTGATTTAGGCCTCCAAAGGTAAAGGAAGTGCCCTGGCTTGTGCTGTACACCACATTTTTGTAACTGTCCTCACAAGGTCTTCTCAGCAACTGCAGGGCTTTTGTCAGGTAAAAATGAAAAGCTTTAAACTGGAAGCCATAAATATAATCTTTTCGAGATTGGCCAGCCATCTTCACAGCTTCATTGAACAGGTGGTAAAAGGGAGTTTGCTCTTGAGCTTCAGAAATATATGCCGTCAGGGCTATTCCATGGTTATCCTTAAAACTCATAGGTAGAAAGATCTGAGGCTTCTCAGCTTCCCATTTGGCTTTTGCATTTTCCCACACAGCCTCTAAGGGCTGGTGGTTTGCTTTTTCTTCCTTGAGCAGTTGGGGAACATATTTGATTTCCATTCTGTCACTACATTTCTGGTATTCATCATCAAATGCATCATCTGCCATGTCTAACATTTCAGCCTTCACCTTCAAAGGAAAAGGACATCAATACCCTTGAACAAGATAGTTGGTATATATCATCTTCTCTCACATTACTGCCCCCATACTCTCATGCCCTGCCAAGAATCTCTCCCTTGCTTACAACCAGCTTTGGATATGTTTTTATTAGGAAGTATGTTCCATTGATATTGATAACTTTCTCAGCTCTGACCTATTTGTGTGAAAGAATAAATATCAGTGGTGAGATATGGATATGATTATGCCTATAACTCATTCATCTGAATCTTGTGGTGCAGAGAAAAGACCAATGAGTATGAAACTGAAGAAATGGGTGGCAGTCCTGGCTTTGAAAATATTCTTAGCCAGATTTCCCCAACCCCGCAAGACTGTCAAGTGAATCTGAAATCATGTGTGAAATACTATACATGATAAATACATAATGGCAAGTATTACCCCTTTTCCTTTAAGATCACACCCTCCATTGTCTACGTGGTTTGGGGAGGAGTGATTCTGCACCTTCGGCTCCAGTGATAAGTGATGAAACAAGCTTAAACACCAGAGCACTCTTTCTTCCTCTACAACCACAGGCTCTAAGGATAATATTGGCTTATGATAGTTATCCTTTTAGTTCCATGGAGCATCCTGTCTGCAAATAAAGCCAACACAGACAGGCCTGCAAAACCGAGAGGTGGAGAGAGAGATGAGGCCCTAATAACATTACTTAAGGCCCTGGATCTGGCTGTACCGGAAGACTGTATTTCACTTTAGTCAAAAGAATCAATAAATTCCCTATCTGCTTGAGCAAGTTTGCGTTGTTTCTGCTATATACAACTGAAAAAGTTCTAATGCATCTTTAAATGATATATATAAGATAAGATTAACACTAGTTTGGAGTCAGATAGACCTGGGTTCAAATTCTATGTCTGTTACTAACCAGGTATTAATCAGATATAAACGTTACTTGACATTTCTGAGCTTCAGTTTTTTCATCTAAAAATGAGGATAAAGTGAGTAAGTAATATTTTAATTGCAGGACTGTTGTGAGGATTAAATGATATAATGAATATATGCGAAGCCCTTGGCCCCATGCCTCACACAGATCAAGCCTTCAACAAACTGTAGTTATGTTTATTTCGTGATAGGAATATATATGTTATCCTGTAAGTTCCTCAGGGGCAGAATCGGCATTATATTTATCTTTTTGAAATCTAAGCATCTACATATTCAAGTGAATTAAATAAGAAACCTGTACTATGGCCTATTCATCAAGAAATAGGATGAGCATATCTATCCAGGGACACGATTTAAGAGTTTCTACAAATAAAAGAATAATGCCCTCCACATCATTCTCTCCATTATTCTTATACTACTTGTATGGTACACTGGTTGCATAAGCGGCAACTCCAGTTGGAGAATTTATAGACACAGAGAGATTGAATAACTTGTCTGGAATTGAGATGTGAACCCAGGCTATCTGGCTCCAGTCTGTCCTTCTTAACCAAAATGTTCTGCTTCCAAAGATGAAGACCACTGACATTTACACAGCACTTTTAAGAGTTTAATTTTGTCTTCATGACAACCCTTATGAAAAGTTGGGCAGACAACTCATAACACCATTATACAAATGAAGGAATTATGCTGGCATCAGAAACTGTCTTGATTACCAGCCACAGAACATTGTGCTGGGGAAGTCACTGAGACCCCTGTACTCCTGGGTCTGTAGGTCAGTTTCTTGAAGTGGAAATCTGAGCTACACGAGATCGAATCACTGCCATTGCCTGGCCAAGAAACGTACTTTCCTCTGCAGCACAGAATGTACCAGAGATGGTATCCTGGGTACTAATGGCTGATTTTTCTTCAAGACTTCAACATATTATAAGACATCATACCCTGAAACCACCACTTTCCATGTTCCTCATATCCTATCAGAGTTGATCCAATACATTCCTGTCTATTCTATGCTTCTAACCAGTCTCCACATGTCTAATTTTAGACATCAAGTCTTTCTGGCCCAAGGCCATGGTTGATTGTGTGTTCTGTACAGTGAGTGCCCTGAGCAGTGAAAAAGTTCACAAATGCCACTACCATTCAGGGACAACTGGATGGACCATAAGGCACCAGCATGAAAGGCTAGGGGAACACACTGATTATATTTTCTTCCTCTGATTTGTCCACTGAAACAAAAGCCAATACTGATGAAATTCAATTACTAAAAATTTATTACAAAAATATGGAAATGACCTAATTGTTCAAGAAAATAAATTGGTTAAATAAATTATAGAACATTCATAGAATACATTAAAATTATGTTGCAAAAGAATATTAAAAATGCAAATAAAAACTGCAGGGAGGTACTACTTCATACCCATTAGGGTGGCTATAATGATACGAAAATAAAAGAAAATAAGTGTGGCAAGATTGTAGAGACACTGAACCTTTATATGCTGCTGGTGGGAATGTAAAATGGTATAGCCACTGTAGAAAAGTTTGGCAGTTCTTTAAAATGTTAAACATAGAGTTACCATATGCTCCAGCAATTCTACTCCTAAGTATATATCCAAGAGAACTGAAAACCTATGTTCACACAAAAACTTATCCATGGAAGTTCATAGCAGCACCACTCATTCACAAGAGCCAAAAAATGGGAAAAACCCAAATGTCCATCAACTGATGAATGCATAAACAAAATGTGGTATAACCAACCACACAATGGAATATTACTCACATATAAAAAGAATAAAGTACAAATATATGCCACGACATGGATGAACCTTAAAAACGTTATGCTAAACTGAAAGAAGCCACATAAAGGACAAATATGCATGATTCCATTCAGATGAAATGTCCAGAATAGGTAAATCCATAGAGACAGAACGCAAATGGGGGTGGCCAGGGGATTCAGGGAAAGGGGAACTGGGACTGACCGCTAACAGCTACAGGGTGTCTTTCGGAGTGATGGGAACATTCTGTAATGAGACAGTGGTACAACTATGCACAACAAGTGAATATATGAAAACCACTGAATTTTACACTTTAAAATGGTGAATTCTTATATGTGACTTATACCTCAATAAAAAATCACATTGCAGTACAGGCAACAGGATATATAAAGATTTTATAGACAATGGATCAGAATACTGAATTTAAAAAAGGATAAAATGTTAAGAATTCAAGATGTTTTAAAGAAGGTACTTCATATCAATGGACAAATACTCAGTAGTGATGTGGCAGCTAACAATGTGGGGGGAAAATAAAGTGAGATACCTGGCTCATATTTTATATAAAAATATGTTAAGCATATTTAAAGATTCAACTGCAAAAAATAAAATCATAAAAGTTCTATGAGAAAAAAATACTAACTGTGAGAAAACTGTCATTATATAACTTTAATAGAAAACGTGTAACCAAACACTGCGGTGTCATTTTATTTGTAGAAAAATACATATTTTCAGAATATTTAATGATATAGAGAGACATCTATAGCACAGTATTAACTTAAAAAGAGAGTAAAAAATGTACTGTGTAAATCCATTTTTGTAAACACACACACTCACACAGAAAGAGAGAGAAAAGCCAAGAAGAATGCACACCAACAGACTGAGTCTTTCTCTCTGAGTAGAGACTGTAGATGATTTTTACTTTCATCGTTTTGCTTAAATTAATGTTTTCAATTTTCTACAGTTAACATACATCAAATGTGTAAAATGAAAAGATGAAAGCTACTTATAAAAAACTGATTTACTTATTCTATCTGCCCTTGCTTGCATTATCAACCCACGCAGATGCCTTGGGCAACATTATAACAAGAGTCCCTATCCCAATGACCACATGCTTCCCATTCCCAACATTACCTGGAAGATTTCCATAAGAATCATAGCTGACAGCAGCATGGTGACCATTTCAAAATGTCCTGTCTTCATTTTTCTCTTCTAAATTAAAATGAAGAAATTTCAATTCAGTAGACTTAAAAAAGAGGCTTAGGAAAGTAGATAAGCAGGATGATACACTATATATATTTTCATTCTGGGTGAGAGTGGGTATCATGACGGTCAGGAAGTGATTATCAATAAATTTCAATGGCTGAGGAAACGAAAGCTCAGAAAACTTCAGCAATTTGCTCAAGATTAAATCTACCATTTCCATTCTCCTCCAGATATGTTGTCTCCCCCACCATAGTCACTGATGCTCATATTTTATTCCTATCGCTCAATATCACCTCTGCATAAACAGGAAACGAACACCAGCTAAAACAAAACTAAAACAAAAACATTTCAAAACTGGTCCCCTAGCTCCCAGTTCCAAGAATTCTCCAGGAGCTAATAACCATGCACATCATTCTATTCTTCTATCTTCTTTGCAAATCAAATCATGCCTATTTGGGTAGGATGGAGGAGATGATGAGGCCAGTAGTGGTACAAACCACACGGTTCTCCAAGGGACCTCCCTCCCCCAAATATTCACATTCAAGAGAAGCTCAAGGATAAAACTTTCTGAAGGCGGGAATGAGAATAAGAAGGAACTGAGTAGGCAGCAATTCTAATAAGATTATACAACTGCTGGCTTAATGCCCAATATTTATCCCAATGTTTATGAGACTGAAAGGGGTAAGTGGGAGGGTTAAGAGGACCTCAGGGGCTGAAGCTGTCCCAGAGCCATCAACAGATTCAATTAAAGGTTGATCTACAGTTCCTTCCACATATTTACAACAAAGTTGACATTACTGGAACTGAACTAAAATTTCTATTTTATCCTACCAATTACCATATTCTGGCATCTGAATATGGGAATGAACAGCACAGGGGAAAGGAAGATAGCTTTCCCTTTGGCCTAGATTCCCACCTTTAGGCTGTTTGTTTCACTAAAGGTATTAAAATATAGTACCAAAATGCCACTTTTGTGTTAAACTTCCCTTTCCAAAAAAAGATTTGGAATATAAGACTTGACAAATAACTATCACAAGGCAGTATGTGTCAAGAAATCTCAGAATCAGGTTTTTGGGTTTATTTCCTAATTCTTCACTTCTGTAGTCTCAGTGTAAGTAAGCAAAAATGTTTACCTGGCTTTTCTGCCTGTGGAGGAGTTTTAAATGATGCTAGGTCTCAAACTGTTTCCCCACTCTCTCAGTTGTAGTGAGCGAGTCTTCAGGTTGGGAGACTGTTGACAGTGAGAGCTGAGAAGCGAATGCTTTTCTTTTTATAAACACCCCCAGCAGTAACTTGGCAGTGGCACATTACTCCATTTGTGTTCTGCTATTTATATCTGGCCCCCACGCTATCCCTTGGAATCACTGCTGTTAACACATGGAATCTCCAAGAGGCTTGTAAAGCCGCAGCAATTCCCTCTAACCGCACAGCATGTTCAGTTCTGAGCCCTTAGCTGTGGGCTTCTCAGAGAGTGATCACTTCCCAGTCCTAACCTTTTGACTCTGAGATGTCAAAGTAAAGCAAGATTTTACCCTAGATAGATGCTTCACATAACTAAAAACACTTGCTGTGTTAATCGCTGGCAATGGTGATAGCTATCACCATTCACTCGACTCACTTACTGTATTTCAGATACTGTGCCAGATGCTGAGGATAAACAAGCAAGTAAAACAAAGTACTAAAAAGCATTCACGATCTAATAAAAGACATGAATGTGTATATTGAGACTGAAAACGTGAAGAATCTTATGTACAGAAAAAGTGCAGTGAGAACACTACGAAGGGAAGGATTTGGTAATACCTGTCACCTGAACAAGGTACACATAGTAAAACTATTGACCACAATGCTGAAGAACTCTTAAGAGTTCACTGACTATGGATAAAAAATGGTGAAATGTCCCAGGAAATTCATGCATATATACATCAAAATACATCAGTCAAATGTATTAGATAGTAGCACTATTTGTAATAGCCAAAAACTGTAAACCATCCAAATGCCTATCAATGGTAAAATGGATAAATTGTGGTATTTTCATAAAATAGATTTTGTATAACTTTGAAAATGAATAAACTCTAACCGTATAAACAAATGTGGATAAATCTTACTAACAAAATTTTGAGCAAGGGAAAAACAAGTATATACTGCATGATTAATTAACATAGAGTAGTGAATCGCCAAAACACACCTACGGTATTTGATGTCAGAACAGCGGTTACTCCAAGTGGGAGGTAGTAACCGGAAGAGAAGAGGCACCAGGGGAGTAGCATCTGGGATGCTACTTAGGTTCTGTTTTCAGTTCTGGGTATTACATTCGTGTATTCAGTTTGTGAAAATTCATCAAGCTATATACTTATACGTATTTTCTTGTGTGTATGTGTATGTGCGTGTGTACATACATATATTACTCAAACATTTTTTTATTATTAGTTTTGAGTATATAATACATTGGTTAGACATTTATATAGCTTATGAAATGACTCCCTGATTACTCTATCACCCATCTGGCTCTCCACCTAGCCATTATATTGCTGCTGACTGCATTCTCTATGCTGTGCTCCCCATCCCCATGACCTATCAACTGCTAGTCCTTTCACCCAGTCCTCTATATTTCTGAGTCTGTTTTTGATTAGTTTGTTCTTCTTGTTCCTTAGATTCCACATATAAGTGAAATCATATAGTATTTATCTTTCTCTGACTTATTTCACTCAGCATAACCTTTAAGTCCATTCATATTGTTGCACATGGCAGGATTTCATTTTTTATGGTTGAGTAATATTCCATTGTACATATAAACCATAACTTCTTTATCCAATCATCTGTCGATAGGCATTTAGGTACACATTTTAAATTACCATGAAATGCATCCACTTTTACAAAACCCATTGCATCTCTACTCTTAAGACTCTTCAAAACCTCTAACCTCTTCCCACCTCACTGGCTAAGCAATTTGAGATTGAACACACTATATACACACCCAGAAATAGTATCATCTTAAAAAAAAAACAACAAAGTTTGGTTAAATAGGAAAGGAGTGTGTGCACATATTTTCAGGCCTTAAGTCCCAGTCATGTGGGCCAACAGGGAATGTGGTAGTGGGGTTTTCCTGTCTTTGGCCCTTTCAAGCCTCCCAGATTCATCTATATTTCATGCATAAGTCTGAGTTCATCAAAAAGAACATAACATTGCATGAAGTTCAAGGTAAGTTTTGCCTCATTTATTTCCAATATGCCTTTCCTCCATTCTTGTTTTCTTACAGTTTTTAACCCCCTAATATTATTCATTCATTTTTTTCAACAAATATTTGAATACTCGCAATGTTCCTTGGCATTGTTTTAGGTACTGGGAATATAATAGTAACATCTTGCCCTTGTCAAATTTATATTCTCATGGAAGGAGGCAGTCAGCTAACAAAATAAATAAATTATATAAGTATGTTAGAATATAGTAAGTGCTACTTTTTTAAAAAAGGTATTACCAAGGAGAATGGGAATTCCATGGAGAGTCTGCTATTTAAATTGGATGAGTAGGGAGGACTCAGTGAAAACATCTGAGCACAGACTTAAAGGAGATGGGGGAGATCAGCCATGAAGATTGTGGTGGAGTGCTCAGGCAGAGGGAACACAAGCAGGCAAGATGGCTGGAACAGAAGAGTAGTAGGTAAGGGAAGGGTGGTAGGAGGTAAGGGTAGTAGGAAGTAAGATCATGTCTTTGTAAGCCATTGTAAGAACACTGGGTTTTACTCTAAGAGAAAGGGAGCAAATTACAAGGTTTGAGCAGAGATATGACATGATCTGACTTATTTTTTAAGAGGATCATCCTGGCTATTATGCTGAGAATAATCTGTAAGATGAAAGTCTGAAGACCAGTTTATAGGTAATGCAAGCAGATTACAAAGGCTCAAATAAGGATGGTGGCGATACAGGTAATGAGGAGGTGTGTGTGTGTGTGTGTGTGTGTGTGTGAATACAGGTAATGAGGAGGGGTGTGTGTGCACGTGTGTGTGTGTGTGTGTGTGTGTGTTGTTTTGCTGTCAGAAACAGGTCATCTTTATTTGAGCTTGTTAATAATCCTATTTTCGAAGATTAAATTAAGCATAATATGTCCAGATATTATAAGGGAAAGTATTTATGGGTTCTAAAAAATTGTATTTTCAAAAATGTGATAACATTAAAAAGTAAATGAAAATGACCTATAGTGATACTGATTTCTTACATAATAAAAATATTTGGACTTAAATTCAGAATATATTTTTAAGATTGAAGCAGTAGGATGCGCTGATAGATTGGACAGGGGTCGCAAGTGAAAGAGAGCAGTAAAGGATAACTCCAAGATTTTTAGCTTGAATAACTGAAAGGATAACGTTGTCAATGACTAAAATAGGGGAGATGATGTGCAACAAATATCCTGGAAGTCAAGTGAAGGAAACATCTTCAGGAGAAAGAAAAGATCAAAAGTGTCAAATGCTTCTGATGTGTCAAGATCGGGACTGAGAACTGACCAGTAGATTTAGCAATGTAGAGGACACTGACGGCCTTGATAAGAGCAGTTTTGATGGAGCAGAAAGCCTGGTTGTAATGGTCTAAGAGAAATAGAAAAAGAACTGGAGAAAGTCAAAATACTCAATTCTTCCAAAAATTTTTTCCTGTAAAGGAGAGAAAAGAAATGAGACAGTGGCTTGATGGTAGGGTTGGGGAAAAGATGAAGAGGGTCCAAGAGCAAAAGGTAATAATTCAGTGGGGGGAGAGACTTATAATACAGGAGAGGGAGGGGAGAATTACTGGAACAATGTCCTTGAGGAGACAAAAGGGTGTGGGACCTATCATACAAGTAGATGAGGTAGCCTCAGATAAGAGCAGGAACAGTTCATCTAATATGAGCAAGAGGGAAGGCATAGTATATTGATAATGCTGGAAAATAGTGGTTACGATGTGAGGATTCTTTTCTAATTGTTTCAGTTTTCTCAAGAGTCAACAAATGATGATGGTTGAAGTGGTAGA